GTTTAGAAGGTTTAGAGGCAGACACCCTGAGACAGAAATCCCTGCTTTATCTCTTCCCGACTTTATGGGCTCGGACACATTTCTTAACTTCTCTAAGACTTGCTTTCCTATGTGTCAATGAGTATACCCACCATTTAGTGTAACATACTGACCTCAGAGATTTTGGAAGGGTGAAATGAGATAATGTATGTGTAGTGCTCAGGAGAGAGCCTGGTGCAGTGTAATTTCTGGGTGTGTGGTACACATCATCTCTAATCAGCTGCAGAAAGTCAGCCTACTGAGCTTCGTTTGGGTGGCGATAGAGCAGTGTTGAGTTAAGGCTTTGGTGAAGGTGTTACTTCATGACAAGAGAGAAGATGAAGTTGAAAGTGCCTGCCAGTACTGGGGGTGGGGACTGTCTGGTTCTCAGCACCACAGCAGAACCGGACTTTTGACCTTGACCCGCAACATATGCTGACCGAGAGCAGTGGAGGCTTGCGGATCCCAGTGAGGTCTGAAGGAGGCCTTGCTGACCGATGGCCTTAAAGGCTCCTTCTTCTGCTCACTTCGCGGAGAGGAGTATTTCTACAGTAGAGCATCTGGCTAGTGTCTTTTTTTTTCTTCCCTTCCTTCCTTTGCATTCTTATTTGGAGTGTTTTAAACTTCTGGGCAGATAAGCTGGAGTAGGGGAGAATTCTAATAGCATGTTAGAGCAAGAAGGAATTTCATTATCTTTTTCCACGCCTGCATATTACCAACGAGGAAGCTCAAGTGGAGAGAATGGCTTTTCTTGCAGGCAGCTGGATTTTTTTTTGTCCTGGCTTCCTTTCTTTCGGGCTGGCTGGCAGCCATGACCCTGATGCTATCTCCTTAGATAGACACAGGCAGCCTCTGGCTCGCTCATGGGAGGGAGCTGGGCCATGACAACCAGAGACTGTTCTCCTATTTCCCCCTCGAGTCAGCTCCATGTTCTACAAAGGCACAGAGCTTCGATTTACGTTTACCTTCCCTTTTCCACCTATTTCCACTGCGCTTCAGGCTCCTGCTGGCTCTTGCTCGCTCCTTTGCCCTCCCCCTAGCTCTCTGGGAGGGTTTGTCTTCCGGCCAGACTGCTGAGCTTCTAGAAAGCTCCAGGATAAGGGAAGAGGCCCAGCCTTTCCAGATGGAGAGCAAGTAGGAGCCAAACTGGCTGGAGGCCTGACAGGCTGAATTGATAATAATGCCTTGTCTCTGAGGTAGCGCAGCCAGGAGAACGTTGGCCAGTTGACCCCAGGGAGGGGGGCTGCTGCAGCTGAGAGCTTCCACCTCCGGGAGTGATGGAGGCACGTAGCACCCATGAGGGGAAGAGCCTCGTGTTGAGAATCGCACACACACATTTAGACACATACTCAGAGGGGCATGCAAGAATAAATAGAAAGAGAAACTGAGGCCCACAGGGAAAGAGGAAGTTAGCAGCTTGTCATCACGTGGGCTTCTGCCGTAAGCGGCTCTATTTCAGGTCTCCATCCAGCTAGCTGGTTGACAGGCAGAGCTACTTAAAATACCTGTCCCGAGCCTGTTGGCTTAGCTTGTCTCCAAGGATTGCAATAAATCCCTCCTTTAGCTATGTTTCTATGATAAGCAGCACGTAGGTTTTAAGCCCATGAGGGCATCTGATCTTCCTTCAGTGCCCTGCACACGTGGAAGGAAGGTGGGGTGGGCATGGGGCACCCCCTGGGCTCACTGGGTGGCCTGGGCCAGCAGGCAGGGTAAAAAGCCCATACTGCACACCCTGGACATTTTTTAGTTTGTTTTCTTTTATAGACATGTCTATTTTCCTGAATATTAAAGCAAATATATTTTTTTAAGATTTTATTTATTTATTCATGGGAGATCGAGAGAGAGGTAGAGACATAGAGGGGGAAGCAGGCTCCCTGCAGGGAGCCAGATGCGGGAGTCCATCCCAGGACCCCAGGATCATGACCTGAGCCGAAGACAGACGCTCAACTACTGAGCCACCCAGGCACCCCTAAAGCAAATATATATCCAAGGTACAAAAGTTTAAAATGATTAAAGCATAACAGATAAGGGAAGACGTTCCCTGTCATTTTATTACCCAGACATACTAGCTTAAGCTGCATGTGGTTGTCGTTTTTGTAGGTCAGGTTGACTGGATATCAGCAATTTCATACGGTTCCACCTAATTTATTGGATATTTCCTTCCAAACACTTTCTATTCCTTGAAATATATATATTTGAGATCATGACATAGATACGTTCATGCCCAACGTTTGTTCTCCTATAAAACCTTACAATGTCCACACCCCCCCCCACCCCAAGTAATTAAAAACCTTCTGTGAGCAGTCTTTTTAATAGTTACATAATATTTCATCCTTTGGGACCATCAAGGTCATTTCCAGTTCCAGGTTGAGCTGTTCTAGCTCCTGTGCTCCAGGCCCGAGGAAAGAAAGAGCCTTGTTTCTGGCGTTCTGTTGGCCAGGGAACAGGCCGGGATCAGGTCCCAGCAGCGCTGGGGAGAGAGCTCTGGTGACAGGCGGCCGGAAGGCAGCTGGCCCTTGTCTCTCTGCGGGACATGTGCTGAGTGCAGACAGAGGATGGGAGTGGAAAAGTTTGCCCCCGCGAGGCTGCGCAGAGTGGGGAGAGGGCACGCTCATTGCCAGGGACCAAAATAGGATCCTGGAGGAGAGTCAGATTCCAGCAAAAGGCTTCTCTTGCCCAGAAAGGATTATTTTAAGTGCTCAGGTATTTATTTCAGCCACTGACACATCTACAGTTTCTGTGTTAACTGAGCTGGGTCAGCCTGAGAAGCCAGCTTGCTTCCCAAAGTGCTTTTTCCACCTTAGGCTCCCCCATGGTCAGCTGCAGGGTCAGGCCAAGCCCTTTGAGTGAGACAGAGGCTGTCACCCTTTATCATGCTTCATGTGATGCCAGTGCACCCACCTGGTCTCCTAGCAGAAGCAAGAGGGAGGGAGAGAGAAGGAGAGAAGGGGAGGGGAGGAGAGGGGAGGTGGAGGAGGTGAGGGACCCTCTCTCTGGGGTTGGTGCTGGTGTTGACATTGACATTGGCTCTCAGTCACTAGTAGAAAAGTCATGAGCCCTTCTGAGCCTCATCTTTCACATATATAAAATGGGACTAATAGTCTTTACCACATAGGGCTGTTGTGAGGCTTAAATAGGTTTTCGTGTTCAAACTCCTAGTTTGAGCTGTGGAGTGGGAAGATGGGTGTTGGGCGAGGAGTTTCTATGACCCCAGGCGATGGCCCAATCCCTTCAGGACTGACCCGCAGATTAATCAGTTCTGCAGATGCTATCCGTTCTAAGACATCAGCTTATCACCTTCCCTGGACAGGGCAGAGGTTCAGGAGCTGGAAGGCCTGGGAGAAGCCAAAGCTTGGTTCTGGTGAGTGGAGGCCTCAGGGTAAAGCAGAAGCAGGGGGTGTTTGAACAGTTGCCCCCACCCAGAAGAAGCAGCAGACCAGTGAGGCTCTTGTCCAAATTGTGCCTCTACTCGTGGGTGAATGTGGAGCCCTCCGAACAGTGTTCTTTACGCTGGGCACAAGGTCTGGTACCATGGTTACTCAGAGAAAACAGAATTTATTTGTGTTGCATGGGGGAGCTGGGGCAAGGTCATGCCGTCTCTGTGGGGTGCGTGCGTGTGTGTGTGTGTGCATGCACACATAAACTAAGAGAACAAAGGCCATGTCCTCTGGCCCTGTTCTCTTGCTTGGTGATCTCTGCCTGCTGTGGAGCCCATGGGGTTTGGTTCTGTCTCTTGTCTCACTCCAGGGCATGGTCAGGCCAGGGAAGGTGTGGTTTTGAGGGGAGCCCCCCCGCAGTGAGGCTGTTTCCTTCTGGCTGCCCACTTTGGCCTCCATCTTCATATCTTCATGCAAGGCCACTTACTTTCAGCCCCAGGGCTGTGGCTTTCCCTGTCCTATGCATCCCTGCCTTGGGACCACCTAACTACAATGCTCCATTTGATTGGGGACCCTTGCATTCTCTCTGTGGGTAGGGAATGCCAAACCTGGGAAGGTTCTCAAGTTCCAGATGCCAGTGCCGGAATACCTTTAAGATTATCCAAGTGTTTCTGGAATGTTGGCTGCCCGAGGGCAAGGTCTTCGTTTTGTTCACTAATATAACTTCAGAGCCCAGAGCAGGGTCGTGCACATAGTACACACTGTTTGTTGAATGATTGAGTGAATGATTCTATTCCAACCTCCACCCAATCTACAGAGGAGAAAACAGCTTAGAAAATGAGGTACGACAGGTAGGATAGGAACCCCAAATTCCCTTGTCCCTTTTGCCGTGCCCCCTCTCCCTGATGCTCAGAAACTTCGTTTTCCCACAGAGCTTCCAGGATTAGGTGAGATGACATATAAAACTCCATAACCTATACCTAGCACATAGACGGTACTAAATTAAAGTGAGTTCCTCATCTTTTCTTCTGTTTGCTCTTGATACTCTTTTCAAATTTCTCTCTTTTTTAAAAAAGATTTTAGTTATTTATTTCTGATGGATTGATTGATTGATAGTGAGAGCAAACTGGGGGAGGGGTCGAGGGAGAGGGAGAGGGAGAGAGAGAATCCCAAGCAGACTCCACCCTGAGCATGGAGCCTGAATGGGGCTCAATATCACAACCCTGAGGTCACGACCTGAGACAAAACCAAGAGTCCAATGCTTAACTGACTGAGCCACCCAGGCAACCCTCAAGTTTTTCTTTGAGACAGTGCTCTGTACCAACGTTTTTATGCCACTTCATGCCTCTTTCCTGACAATAACACCTATTCACTGTCTACTTAGCTGTGTGTTAGGGGGGACACAAAAGAATTACATTCAAAGATGAACAATAGCCTTGTTTTAAGAGAAGCCTTGTTTCAATCCTTCCAAGAGTATTAATGAAACTCAGTGGATCCCTGGGGGTAGGATTTCCACAGAGAGAATGTTCTAGGCTCTTAGGATGCAGGGGGGATGTCCTCTGTGGACCCTCACCCACTAGGCTCTCTCGTCTCCCTGTCCCACAGTGGCAGATGAAATGCTGCAAGTGTGACTCTAGGTTGCCTCACAGTTACAACAGTCACCGAGTGGAGAATGTGGTTTCATCTTCGGGCCCTATGCGCTGGTGGCAGTCACAGAATGGTAAGCACTGCCCATCTCCAGGGGTCTAAGGTTGTGGGAGGTCCCAAAGGATGAGGGTGGTTGGAGGGTACCCGGGAACGCTTTTGAGTGTCCCAAGCAATTCTTATGTGGTGGGACATGCGTGGTTGACAGACCTTCTGCCTCTATATTTGAAGTCTCTCAAATCCTGTAGGTAGAAGAATTGGCTGGAAGTTAAGGAAAGGGTAAAAAGAGTGAGGGATGCCTTTATTTCACCCCACTTGGTTACAATGAGGTTGTTGAAGCAATGAAGCTCGTAGAACAGACAAGTTGAAATCCTTCAGTGTGTTAGGGTCATCAAGAAGTGATGGGAAGGAAATTTGGTGGAGGACAGATAGGATCATGAGTAGGAAATACAAGGAGAAGCGTGTTGATACCATTCCTCTCCAAGAGGGAAATCAGAAGATTGAGGTTAGTGTTTCTGACTTCCCAGACCTAGTAGAGTCCAGAGCCTTCCTCAGGGCATGAAGGTAAAATTTCTCTGGTCTAATGTTTCTACTTTTTGTCCTTCTAGATGTAAACCCCGTCTCTCTGCAGTTGGACCTGGATAGGAGGTTCCAGCTTCAAGACATCCTGATGGATTTTAAGGTATGCTTCCTGGGGATGGTAGCAGATAGGAGAGGGGACCCTGGGCCATGTGAGCTTGGGCTTATGGGGAGCATAGTGTCCTTGTCTAGCCAGGCTTGGGGTGAGGACACCACATGGTAGGTGGGCTTCACTTCCTCAAGCTGAGACGACACTTACTCTAAGACTATATTGTGGTGACAGCAGAGGCCCACTCCTGGGAGTATGGTAGCACCTCCAGGCCCCTGTCCTGGCCACGCAGTGGTTATATATCTGCTTTCTCTCTGAATCCCTCATCCTCAATCCATCTAATTAATTCAGCTCTGCCAAGTACCAATTCCACTGGGCCTGGTCAATTATTATACATTTGTGTCTTCTTGGTATGTTTCATAATTTTGCTGATGAGACTGAGTTTAACAGACAGCCAATAACTGGCCCATCCTTATGAAAGCTAGGGTTTTGGAGTAGCCCTCTTGGTGGGCCATGTACTTATTCACTGCTATTGCTTCTCAGAGTACTTTTGGATTCTGCTTTTAGACTAGCCTCCTGAGATACTTCTTTGGGAGGGAATATTTTTGTTCATTTGTCACAGGTCGTTTATTTTTTTTTTTCAGAGGAGATTTGATTTTATTCTTTCTACAGAAATAGTCAAATATTTAAGGAGCAAGCTTGGTTAATAAGATTAGATAATCACGAAGGGTGATGTCATTTTTTAGGAGTTAAAATGAGCTGTGAATAAAAAGCAATAGGATCTAATTTCTTCCTTGACTCAGAAAGTTAGCTCTGAGATTTTCTGCTCAAGAAAAGGTCAAAAGTATTTTGAGAAATGGCAGTATCATTTGAATAAATGCCTAGTCTCTAAAGGTGACAACTTTGAAGGGCAACATGCATCTGGATGGATATTGTTAGTCACATCGTTTGTTCATTACTCACTCATTCATTTACTTGATCATTCTTGATACACACATATCGAACACTGGTTATATGTTAGGTTTGGGGCCAGATGTTATGGATAGAAAGATGAATTGAGCTAAATCATGGTTCTTACACTGCTCTAGTATATGTTGGGAAGACAAAGGACTGACAGTGAGGAGGTATGACAGGTGCTCTGATGTTGGTAGAAAGTGGTGCTGGGAATACAAAGGAGTGTCCCAATTGGTCTGTCTTTGGGGGGTGAATCAGACAATGTGCCTGGGAAAAGGTGAACCTTTGTAAGGCCACTAATTTAAGCCAGGCAAAGGGCAAAGTTCATTCTTGACAAAGACAATCAACCATAAAATGCAAAGGCCTGGAGAAAAGAGGCAAGAAGGTATAAAATTGGGGAGGAAGCAATGGAATGCACATATAGGGTCTAGAGGGGAAAATGTGTATATGATGGTGAGAAGGAAGGATGTGGAAGGCTATAAGCTGGTGAGAAATGAGTTTACAGATATAAATGGGGAGGAGGGAAGTAGACTAAAGCTTCATCCATTCATCCACCAAATGACTAAGTGCCTCCTGTGTGCTAGATATTGGGGGTTCAACTTGAACAAGACAGATGGGAGCCTGCCATTTACTAGAGTGGTTCTTAATTAGGGGATATTTGGCAATTTCTGGAGATGTTCTTGGTTGTCACAACTGTGGAGGTGCTAGTGACATCTAGTTTATGGAAGTCAGGGATGCTGCTAACCATTCTCCGATGATCAGGACAGCCCACACAAGGAATTACTCAACTCCAAACAGTAACAGAGCCAAAGACTGGAAAACCCTGGTCTAGTGGGAGAGGAATCAAAAGGAGTAAGCCAACAAATAAATGATTGGGAATTGTAGTGACATTTATGAAGGAAACAAAAGGCTAGAATGAGGTAGGGTGGGCAGAGTGTGGGCAGAAGAATGTGTGCTACATAGGTACAAAAGAGTCTCATGAGGAGGTGACATTTAAGCTGAAAACAAAAAATGAGAAGGAACCCACCAGGGGGAAGAACATTCCAGCTGGAAGAAACAATCTGAACGAAGGTTCTGAGGAAGGAAGGAGCATATGATGCAGCTGAGAGCTTGCAAAGATGAAGGTGTATGGGACATGAGATGAGGTGAGAGGACAGGCCCACATAGCATGGGACCTGGGCAGGAGTTCGGACTCATTCAAGAAGAGCAAGGAAGAGGCCTTGAACAGACATGTCTCCCAAGAAGACACACAGATGGCCAGTAGGCAAATGAAAAGATGCTCAACACCATTAATCATCAGAAAAATGCAAATCAAAACTACATTGATACATTGCCTCGTGCTTGTTAGAACGGCTGTGATCCAAAAGACACGATGTACGAGTCGGCGAGGATGTGGAGAAAGAGGAGCCCTTGTGCACTGTTGGTGGGAATGTCAATTGGTGCAGCCACGAATGGAAGTAATATGGAAGTTCCTCCAAAAACTAAAAACAGAGCTACCCTACGATCTGACAATTCTACCTGGGTCTATATATCAGAACGAAATGAAATCACTGTCTCGAGGAGATACCTGTGCCCTCATGTTCACAATAGTCCAAGACATGGAAACAAGCTAAGTGTCCATCAGAAGATGAACAGAGACAAAGAAAATGCAATCTATAGCCATAGATCTGTGCACAATGGGATATTCAGCTCTAAGAAAGAAGGAAGTCTTGGCTTTTGTGACAACATAGGTGGATTTTGAGGGCATTCTGCTACGTGAAATAAGTCAAAGAAGGAAAAACACCACGTGTTCTCATATGCAGGATCTAAAAAAGCTGAGCTCGTGCCATAGAGACTAGAATGGTGCTTGTCAGGGGCTGGGGGCAGGGGCCCAATGGGAAGATGTTGGTCAAAGGGCATGAACTTCCAGCGGCAAGATGAGTAAGTTCTAGAAATCTAATGGATAGCATGGTGACTACGTAACACTGTATTATATACCTGAAAGTGGTTAAGAGTGGAAATCTTAAGTGTTACCACCACACACAGAAAATGGTAATTATGTGAGGGGATGGTGTGTAACCCTTCGGCAGTACTTACACGTGTCACATCCCCACACTGCACATCTTAAATGTGTATATATGTCAATACTATCTCAATAAAGCTGGGAAAAATAAAGAACAGTGGGAAGTGATTCTGGGGTTTCTTGCAGAAGAGTGACACAGTCTATGTGCTGGGTGGGGGTGGGTGTCACCAAGGTAAGAGTGAACAACAAGAGAAATTCAGGTGGCACCTACTGGAGAGTTGAGGGGGATGAGGGTTTGGAGGCTGGGTTTATGAAGCCATGTTTGAGGTGGTGGCTCAAGCTGGGAGCCATCAGCCTAGGGGCAGCATTGAGAACCCCGAGAGACGGGTGAAACCACCAAGGGAGGAAACACACAATGTCACGCGGAGAAGTTTGCATTTCATCATTAGCTAATCCAGATCCATTGAGGGGGCTCGAGCAGGAGTGACAGTCAGGTAGTCATCTAGGAAGACCTCCCCAGGGGAGTGGGGAGAGAGGTTTGGAGGGCCCGGACACTTGGCTGTGGGAAGTGTAACGGGCTAATTTTCTGCCCTGGCCACCTGGGTGGTGGGCTGAGCTGGGAATCCCATTCGTCTAGAATGTAGATCACCTTCTCTTGGTCTCCTTGGTTCCCCTGGGGAAAATCTGATGGGGCCAGTGTCTATCAGGAGCATTGGACAGGGATGACCCGAGGCCTTGCTCCCTCTCGTGCCCTCACTGTGATTCTCAGGAACCACCTGTGCATCTTGAGCTTTTCTTGGTGGCCCCTTCCCATCAGTCACTCAGGCAGCCACCCTATCTGTGTCTCTGCAGGGGCCCATGCCCGCTGGGATGCTGATTGAGCGCTCCTCGGACTTCGGCAACACCTGGCAGGTGTACCAGTACCTGGCTGCCGACTGCGCCTCCGCCTTCCCTCGGGTCCGCCAGGGCCGGCCTCAGAGCTGGCAGGATGTTCGGTGCCAGTCCCTGCCCCAGAGGCCTAACGGGCGCCCGGAAGGGGGGAAGGTAGGTAGAGGGGACTCTGAAAAACAGGCACATGTTGTGTGTGTGAGTTTGTGTGTGTGTGTGTGTGTGTGTGTGTGAGGTCTCTGACATCACATTGCTCACACAGTTCCCCAACATCTGGAGTCCAGATGACTCCTTGCTAGCTTTCCTGCTCCCTGGCCACGCTCAGAATATTTGCCACTTGTCCCCTTTGCTACTCAGGAGAAATATTTCAAAAACACATTGAGGGCACCGCATAACCCAACCCTGCCCTCCCCCTTGGCCACTGCCCCCGGCCCGTTGGCACGTCCCCATAGTGGAAAAGGTACAAGGCACTTTGCTTTGGTGCAAGGAGCGTGAGATGGTTGGTTTAGATTCAAGTAAGCAAATTGCACAAATTTGAGCTCTGATTTCACCTTGATAGGGTTTAACACAAGAACGAGCTCTCTCAGTTTAATCCCTCCACCTGGTCCTTGGGGAAATTCAGGTACAAGCCACAGCTCCGGGTCACCTGACCTTAAACCCTGAGTGAGAAACAGAGAACCTGCCTCTGAAAACAGCTCAGGACTCGCTCCCCCACTCATCCCACCTGGGGGGACGCTTCTCACATTTCTTTCGTAACTACCCTTCCCCTTCCCGCCACGGCCACCCAAGGGAGGCCTTGTGCTCTGTCCTCCCCTCTCTGGCTCCTGCTCCCTCAGAGCAGCTCTGCTGGGCACCCAGTGCTCCGGGCGCTGCCCTCCCCATGGGCAGTGCCTCTTTCCTTTGCAGGAGCGAGTCCTCCTGGGTTACAGCCGAACCCACATCCGTGTTAACCACCTTCCCTACATTCCAGATTGAAACATGGGACTTCTTCCTGATTCGTGCAGGGCTGTCAGGAAAACTCTGGGATAGGCAGATGAAATCCCATAGAATGAGCTGTTTGGATTCAAAAGGAGAAACGCAGTTGAGATGGGGGTTGTCTAGAGGGTGGTGGTGAGCGCATCCATGAATCCTTGCACCCTGGACCTTCTCATTCATCCAAGGTGCTTGGAAAATTACTATCCCCTAAACCCTTGTGTGTACGTTATATATCTCACCACTGGTTTTGACTCAAGGAAATCAGGAAGTTCTTGGGCTATCTGTATTTTCAAGTGGAGAGGAGAGTTGTCTACGCTCACACACACACACACACACACACACACACACACATTTAGGGCCCAGTGATCATCTCTCTCTCCCAGGGTGGTAGCAGGCCTCACATGCACGGTCACATGCAACCTCAAGGTTCCAGGTAGGGCCTGGATGAAAAGGGAGACTTCCTCTGAGCTTGGGGTACCCCATGTACCTCTACGCCAGGCCTTCCCTTCTTCGCCCTCTCTCTGCAGGTTCAGCTTCACATTATGGATTTAGCATCTGGGATCCCAGCCACTCAAAGTCAAAAAATTCGAGGTCAGTGTGGCTCCTCCTCTGGCTTGGGTGGACCTGGGGTGAGGAGCAAAATTTGGCGCCCTGGGACTTGACGTGGTTGGTTGGTTGGAGCTTGAGTCTCAGAAATTCCCGGGTCTCTCATATTCCTGTCTGCCTGGTGGGATGTAATACCCTGCTTATTCCACGGGCAGCGTGGTTGACGAGTCTTTTCTGTCGTGGAGGGCCACGGGCTGAGGCGGATGGCCCCTGATATCACCTCCCTTATGAAGGCAGGGACGATGGGGTGGTGAGATGGGGAGGCCCACACTCTGCGCTCACGGCCTTTCTTTCCCTTCCCTCCCCCTTCCCCCCTCCTTCCCTGTTGCATGCCCCCTCTCAGAGCTGGGGGAAATCACGAACTTGAGAGTCAACTTTACCAGGCTGGCCCCGGTGCCCCAGAGGGGCTACCACCCGCCCAGTGCCTACTACGCCGTGTCCCAGCTGCGTCTCCAGGGCCGCTGCCTCTGCCATGGCCACGCCGACCGCTGTGCCCCGCAACCCGGAGCCCCCGCTGGCCCCTCCACCACTGTGCAGGTGACAGCTCTGGGCTGGGGAAGGTGTTGGGCAGAGGGCAAGGCCGATGGCAGGCTCAGGCCATTCTTGGGGCTCCTATGAAACAGGGAGGGGGATACCTGGGTGGCTCAGCGGTTGAGCGCCTGCCTTCGGCCCAGGGCGTGATCCTGGAGTTGGGGGATTGAGTCCCACGTTGGGCTCCCAGCATGGAGCCTGCTTCTCCCTCTCCCCGTGTCTCTGCCTCTCTCTCTGTCTCTCATGAATAAGTAAATAAAATCTTAAAAAAAAAAAAAAAAAACAGAAACAGGGAGGGCCTTAAATGTAAGACTTGGGTATTTGACATTTTAGCAACGGTGGAAACGAGTCCCAAGTGACCGTGGCCTCAAAGGGCAGAAGTGTGTAGCGCTTCCTCAAGCCTGCCTTATGGCTTGGAGTGGTTTGAGTTTTAGTTACGTGTCCGCACATGTGTGGGTCTTGCCGGGGAGCTAAAAAGAAAAAAAAAAAGAAAAAGAAAAAAAAACTGCCCAGACCTCCATCCTCAGATATTCCAATTCTATTATTGGTTTTTAAAGCTTCCAGGTGATTCTCAGCATTCCCGGGGATGCGGAGAGGCCTGGCTTTGGGGACTCTAGAGTCCCATCTAGTGGCGAGATCGGGGGCAGGGAGAGGGAACAGAGTCTCCCCCAGAGTGGGTGAGTCAGAGGCACCCGGGAGGGGAGGGGGAAGCTCCAGCTTCACCAGCCACCCTGGTTGGGGGGTTTTGCCTCCAAACCAAATGTAAGCACCACCAGTAGAGGAGAGAGGACTTTGGGCCCGGAAGCTGGGGCTTCGGTCCTGTTAACGTACAGGAGCTCATTTCCCCTGGCGATCATATAAGGCAATCCTATAAGATGGCCTGCGAGGGCAACACAGGTGAAATGAGCCCTGGGCAGCTTCGTCCTTCCCACCCCTGGGCCAGCCCCTACCCAGGGCTTCAGAGGAGGCCAGAGGGTGACCGGCTCCAGGAATGTGTCATCTATTAGGGCCTGGAGACGAATGAGCAGAGCACAGGCCCAACAGGACTGCTGACGGATGAGGAATACAATGTGCCGTGGGCTGCAGAGGAGGGACAGGGCACGCCCGGCCCCAGGGGCTCTGGAATCTGGGCACACCCCCGAATCACCACTTTAAAAAAGTATCCATGTCTGGGCCTTGTCCCTGCGATTTGGATCCAATTGGGCCTGGCAATGACATTTTTTAAAAAAAATGCTTCCCATGTGATTGTAGAGTTGCATCCAGGATTGAGATCCACGGAATTAGAGGAACCGGGGCGGGGGGGGGGCGGGGGCTGGTGAAGAAGGTGCCATTCTAGCTGGCAGGTTCTTACTGGTGAGGGGGAGAAAGAAGGGAATTCCGGGCAGAAAGAAAAACATCTTGGTAAAGGCCAAGAGGTGGGGAAAAGCAGGGCTCGTGCAGGACGCAGCTGGAGGTTCAGCTGGGCTGTGCTGTTCGGGCTGGGAACTGAAGATGGGGCGTACACAGTACAGGTCTTGAATGCCAGGCTGAGGGTGTCGGGCTCAATTTGGAAGACAATGAGCACATAATAACTGCTCTATTTTTATATCTTAATGAGTCTACTAACAACTGATCATAGCGGCCCCATTAGCCAAACAGCCACAGTCAAAAGATTGTTGGAATATAAATCTCCAGAGGGCCCACGAAGTTCTAGAATCGTAGTTTGCCAGTAGGGGTATCCGGGCCCCTTCCAGGTGCTGCTTTGGCATCACGGGGATGTCCAGGGCCGAGGAATGAGCTTTTATTTATTTATTATTATTTTTTAAAGATTTATTTGAGAGAGAGAGAGAGAGAGAGAGCGCATATGAGCACGGGGTGGGGGGAAGGGGCGAGAGAGAGGGAGAGAGAGTCCCAAGCAGGCTCTGCACTGAGCGGGGAGCCCGACACAGGGCTTGATCCCACGACCCTGAGATCAGGACCTGAGCAGAAACGAAGTGTCAGATGCTCAACTGACTGTGCCATCTGGGCGCCCCAGGAAGGAGCTTTTAAAAGCCCAGTTGGATGAGAAGGGCAGGTACGTGCACGCACGCACACATAATACACCCACGATAGCACACAAGCAGGCAGCTGGGAGTGTCACTGGAGCTGAGTGAGGGCTGGAGGAGGTGGGGTCTGAGCTGGACCCTGAGTGGTTGGGTGGAAGGTGGCCGGTCCATCGCTGGGACAGTCCTTTGATAATTGGACAGTCCTGATATCTGGTGGCCCCTTTCCCAGGTCCATGACGTCTGCGTCTGCCAACACAACACTGCTGGCCCCAATTGTGAACGCTGTGCGCCCTTCTACAACAATCAGCCCTGGAGACCTGCAGATGACCAGGACCCCCATGAATGCCAACGTATGGCCCTGGACTCACCCCCTCCCCTGTAGTGGCTGGGTGGGGTGCTGGCCCCGGTGGGCCTCAATGATCTTACCTGGACACAGGGAGAATCTATTCTTTATTATTTAAATCCAACTTGACTGCACCCCTGTAGCGTAAGCTCTCCTTACTCTGCGGGGATGGAAAGAGTTTGAGTTGCAACCACCCTCTGCCTCCCCAGACTCCTTCTTAGCAAGGCCTGAGGGGACCAAGGCTGGTGCGTGCTACTGTTGCCACATGGCTTTTATGATATCCCCAGATTCCCCAGATCCTCTTTCTTCTGTCCCTGTCAGGTGCCTTGTCCTGTGTAGGACGGATCTCGTTCCCTACTTCAGAGGGCCTCCTGGAGTCAGGGCCTTTCTCTGCACAAGTAGGAGAAACAAGGGTCCCCAGCCCAGAGACAGGCAGTGACCCATCAGGAGATCCGCACAGGCAGTGGGGGAGGGCTGGACCATTCCAAGGGCTCCCTCTTTGGCCCAACCCAGATGTTATTCTTGGGTTAGTTCCCACATCGGGAGTTAGGAGGCCTGACTTCTTACACTACTTTCTTCCTGGCCCTATCACCTTAAAGGAGTCACACAAGCCCTCTCTGGGCCTCAGTTTCCCCATTTCCTAGACCTGAGCACCTTGCAGAGTTGCAAGAGATGCCCGTGCGTTAGCGTGGAACGTGCTTTGTGGATGGAAGCGGTGCTGGTCTACGGTCAGCCCTGGGACTCTCCTTTTTCAGGGTGTGACTGCAACGGGCACTCAGAGACCTGTCACTTCGACCCAGCGGTGTTCGCCGCTAGCCAGGGGGCACATGGAGGTGTGTGCGACAACTGCCGGGACCACACGGAGGGCAAGAACTGTGAGCGGTGTCAGCTGCACTATTTCCGCAACCGGCGTCCAGGGGCCCCCATTCAGGAGACCTGTATCCGTGAGTAGGGGCTCTGGGGACCCCGGGTATCACCAGAGCATGTGTCCCTGGGGACACATGAGCCCCCAGGAAGCACAAGGCCTTGGCTGTTTGTCAGGACTTGCAGGCAGTTGATTTAAGGGCTGTGCCCTTCTTTTTTTTCTTTTTTTTTTCTTAATGTAAAAGATTTTATTTATTTATTCATGAGAGACACACAGAGAGAGGCAGAGACACAGGCAGAGGGAGAAGCAGGCTCCCTGCGGGGAGTCTGACGTGGGACTCGACCCTGGCTCCCCAGGATCAGGCGCTGGGCTGAAGGCAGGTGCTCAACCTCGAGCCCCCCCCGGGCTGCCCTAGCTGTGCCCTTCTAAGCCGATCACTTAACCTCTCTGGACCATCAATCAATCCGTCCATCAAGTTATGTAGCCCTTACTTTGGACACAGGAGACGCGAAAGTAAATATCAGACGCAGTTCCTGCTGCCAAGACACACACACGCTGTTTGGCAGTGTAAACCCTAGTGAAAAAGGCGGACCAAGCACTTTGTCCACGTACGTGTTGCTGCCCTTGCCACGCGGTGGTGTCGTTTGCTCTGTATTTTCCGACCTCCCCCAGTACTGAGAGCTCCTCCGTGGCAGGGAGATGCCTTAGGTCCTCAGGTCCTAGGACCATGACAGCCACAACGCCAGGTGATGCTGCAGAGAGGGCTCCTGAAGGAACATATGCATGGAACACCCAGCGGTACCCAGCGTGTCCCACAGGGGCCCACGGGTGAGAGAGGAGAGAGAGCAGAGCGGACTGAAGCGATCCCAGCCCGGCTTTTTTTGGATGGAGGAAGAAAATCTGCACTTTGTTTCTTATTTTTTTTTATAAATTTTTTTTTATTGGTGTTCAATTTGCCAACATATAGAATAACACCCGGTGCTCATCCCATCAAGTGCCCACCTCAGTGCCCGCTACCCAGTCACCCCCACCCCCCGCCCACCTCCCCTTCCACCACCCCTAGTTCGTTTCCCAGAGTTAGGAGTCTCTCATGTTCTGTCTCCCTTTCTGATATTTCCCACTCATTTTTTCTCCTTTCCCCTTTATTCCCTTTCACTATTTTTTATAGTCCCCAAATGAAAATCTGCACTTTGAAAGGCCTGCAAGAGGTCGGGGTGTGGGGGTGGGAGAGGGCCGCTTCACTTCCTCTTGCTGTTATTTGTTTATGGAAAGAGTGAGGAAGACAAGTTGGCCTCTGTTCCCCCGCAGTTACTTGCTGGGTGCCCTTGAGTGTGCTCCCCCCCCTCAGGGTTGTCGTGACGACTACATAAGGCGACACGCAAGCGTGCCCAGCTCCGCGCTTGGCATATATATATAGCAGTCGTTCTGGAAATAATGACCACAAAAACTTCCATCGTTCGTACCTAACCCTGTGCCAAGCACTGTTCTATCTGCTTTTCATTCACTCATTTTACTCCCCGTAGGGAATCCGTGAGAGTCGTATAATTATCCCCATTTCACAGATGAGGAAACTGAGGCACAGAGGGGTTAGGTAACTGGACTAAGGTTGCAAGGCTGTAAGCCAGTGACTGGTGGGATAAAGATCTGAACCGGGCAGTCTGGCTTCTAGATGGGCTCTTAGCTTTCTGCTTTTCTTCTTTATTCTCACTGTGGTGGCTGCTTTTGTGTCTCAGCCTGCGAGTGTGATCCCGACGGGGCTGTGCCGGGGGTTCCCTGCGACCCGGTGACGGGGCAGTGCGTGTGCAAGGAGCACGTGCAGGGGGAGCGCTGCGACCTGTGCAAGCCAGGATTTACGGGACTCACCTATGCCAACCCGCAGGGCTGCCACCGTGAGTGTGTGGGGGGGGGCACCCAGCCTGGGAATTCACCGGGAAGATTGGGGTGGGGGGGCACCCAGTGCTGCACCCTGAGCCTCCAGCAGGTGGCAGCACAGGCCTGGGTTAGCAGGTGGCACTGAGTCAGGCGGAGGGAAGGAGGGAGGGAGGAAGGGGGGAGGGAGGGAGGGAGGCCCGGCTGCCCGGTGCCACGCAGGAAAACGCAGTGGCCTTGTGAGTCAGCCAGGTTATCTGGAAAGAACGACCCTGCCTGGTTCTTTTCCCAGGCGGGACCCTGTCCCCGACGAGTGTCGTCTAGGGGTGCCTTGTGGGTGTCTTGTGAGCTCAGGAACCCTCCCCCCTGCAGGCTGCGACTGCAACATCCTGGGGTCTCGCCGGGACCTGCCCTGTGATGAGGAGACTGGACAGTGCCTGTGCCTGCCCCACGTGGTGGGCCCCAAATGTGACCAGTGCGCTCCCTACCACTGGAAGCTGGCCAGCGGCCGGGGCTGTGAGCCGTGTGCCTGTGACCCTCACAATGCCCTCGGCCCCCAGTGCAACCAGGTAAAGAGGGGGTGGCCCCGAGGGCCCCACAGCAGGAGAGGAGGCCTTCCTTGATCACCAGCCTGTGTCTCCCCTCCACGCTGCCCAAAGCCAGACTGGGCTGCGTCTGTCCCCACTCTCCTTGGGGAAGCCACCCGATGTCCCTCCCCGTGTGGCTCAGGGCCTTCTGCGGGGCCAAGCAGGCTCTGGCTTCTGAGCTTGGGTCTGGGTGGGAGCCCTTGTTCCGGGGGCCGCGGCGAGCTGCAAGCGGTCCATGCGTCCCGGACGCTGTGCTCACCACGGCTCTGGGACACGGTCCCCAAGGCCAGGGCCAGGCCGGGGCTGCGAGGGACGCTCCCTCACAGTGCTCTCCTCCACAGTTCACAGGGCAGTGCCCCTGTCGAGAAGGGTTTGGTGGCCTGACGTGCAATGCTGCGGCCCTTCGCCAGTGTCCCGACCGGACCTACGGAGACGCGGGCTCGGGATGCCGTGGTGGGTGCTTCTTGAGCCGGAGGGGACGCTGAGGCATGGGGTGGGGGGTGCTGAGCACCTGCATGGGCTCCGGGCAGAGGGCGTGTGGGACGGTCTGTGCTATGGGAGGACGTCCCGTCCTAGGACAGGTGCTGTGGTCCTGGCAGCATCGTGGGGGCGCACGTTCCCCGCAAGGGCTCCAGCCAGCGGGCTTAGCCCCCAGCCCCAGGGGGACGTCAGGTCCCCCGTCCCCGTGACCCGAGCGAGGGTGGCTCCGCTCCCGTTTCCCTGACCCGGCATCTCCCACAAGCCGTCTCCAGGGCAGCGGCAGGGAGCGGGGCAGTTTCTCCCTAGATGGAGGAAGGGAGTCCCGAGGGGAAAGGTGTGATCTCCCCGGGGTCGGCTTGACCCGTAGCCAAAGAGTGCGGGACCCGGAGTGTGCAGACCGAGGTCTGGTCTCGGCGTGGCCTCTCTTACCAGGTGACTTGGGCGAGTGGCTTCCCCCGAGGGCTCGGTTTCCCGAGGGGACATTGCATTTAATACCACTGTTGCTCCATCCACACACATGGGGACATGGGGGCGGTTAGGTGTGTCACAGGGTGGCCGCGAAGGTGGAGCGCTTGCCTGTGTGAGCGGCCGGGTGTCTAACCTGGCGCGGTGCCTGGCACTGGCACTGGCACTGGCACCTGGCACACGGTCGGTGCTCAGTAGAGGCTTGCCGTCCTTGCTGGCGTGGCCGTGATTTTACTGTGGCCTCGACCGTCCTTTATCCTAAGTCCTGTAGCCGGGCCCTGGGGTCAGACCTCCGCTTCAGGCTCTCCCCACCATGTGCCTTTATCTTCCTTTTTTTTTTTTTAAAGATTTTATTTATTTATTCATGTGAGACACACACATAGAGAGGGCAGAGACACAGGTGAGGGAGAAGCAGTCCCCATGCATGGAGCCTGACGCAGGACTCGATCCCAGAACTCCGGGATCATGACCTGAGCCAAAGGCAGGCCACTAGGGTGCCCCTGCCTGTACCCTCCCGACGCCCCCACTGACCATCACCCTTACCCGCCCTAGCCTGTGACTGTGACTTCCGGGGAACAGAGGGCCCAGGCTGTGACAAGGCCTCGGGCCGCTGCCTCTGCCGCCCCGGCTTGACCGGCCCCCGCTGCGACCAGTGCCAACGAGGTTACTGTGACCGCTACCCGGTGTGCGTGGCCTGCCACCCTTGCTTCCAGAACTACGACGCCGACCTCCGGGGCCGGGCACTGCGACTCAGCAGCCTCCGCAATGCCACCGCCAGCCCGTGGCCGGGGCTGGGTCTGGAGGATCCTGGTCTCACCTCCTGCATCGCGGACGCCAGGAGCAAGATGGAGCAGATCCAAGCCATCCTCTCCAGTGCCCCGGCCACCGAGCAGGAGCTGTCCCAGGTGGCCAATGCCATTTTCTCCATCAGGTAAACTCTCCTCTCCCTGCCGAGCACTCAGAAGAATTACGTCACGCGGGGTCGCGGAAGTGGCCCACACGGGTCCCTCCTTCCTTTGGCACAGCCCTTTACAGCTTCCAGAGCATTTTCACACGCGCTTCCCCTTGGAACAGTCACAATGGTCCCGTGAGGTCACTGGGGTGGGTGTCACTGCTTCTGTCTTGGGAGATGGGGGAACGGGCACAGATAGGTGACGTGACCGTCATGCGGCTACAGAGGAGCAGAGCTGGGACTCAGCACAGGCAGGAGCCCCGGTGTTCTTTCAAGTGCCCGGCGCTGCCCGTGGGAGAGAGTCAGCTCTGGATTAGTCACCCTGGTGCAGGGCATCCGAGAGGCAGGGGCTCTAAAAATAACTCGTATTTGCCTTTGGAATGGGAGCGGTCCCACCCACACCTCCTTCCTACCGGCGGAGGCGACTTCTTCATAAGGTTTGGTTCTGGAAGTTTCTATAATTAGTTTGCACTCCCCGAGCACTAGCCGACTTTTGGTGCCTAGAGCCAGACGTCCAGGTGTGTGATTGACCGAAGTCTCCAGACTGAGTAGCGAGCCCGGGGGTGTTCGGTGGGCTGGAAGTGCAGGACGGAAGGGGGTTCCACGGAAGGACCTGCCATGCCGCAGCAAAGCCTGTCGGTAAAGAATGCAAAGCTTATGGGAGTTGGTGGTTGGGGATCAGCGAAGGGGATGGGGAGAGAGGAACCTCGGTGGGCCGGGGCTCTTGGGTCCTGACCCCCTTTGGGTGGAGACGACCCTGCTCTGGGTGCTCCTGGGCGGGGGGTGTGGGCTGCAGAGGAGAGACTTGGGAGCCTGGCAGGCGGGGGGTACAGCTGGTGTAGGGGTGCCTGAGCCAGCCTGCAGCCAGCCAGGGAGAAAGGGGCCCCAGGTGATACTCCCCATGGAAGCCAGTTCTGGGGAGGTGGTGCCGGCCCAGGAGTGTCGAGTCACACAAGTCGAGGAAGGAGAGGTTTCGGTGATCTGCCTGCCGAGGGATGGAGGCCGGTTGTGGCTTCTGTCTCGGCCTTCGTCGCGCAGAATGCCCCAGAGCCGGTGGCGTCCCCCCGTTGCCTTGCTGAAGACCTCCGCGCTTCCTGGCTCAGGGGTTCCCCGCCGGGCTGGCAGGTTCCGGGGAGGCAGCCCCCTCCCGTATTTTACCGAAAGCTCCCCTTGGGTTTCAGGCGGACTCTCCAGGGCCTGCAGCCTGACCTGCCCGTCGAGGAGGAGACCTTGTCCCTCCAGGGAGACCTGAAGAATCTGGACAGGAGCTTCCAGCACCTCCTCATGACGTATCAGAGCAAGAAGGAGCACTTTGAAAGGCTAAGCGGTGCCAATCCTTCAGGTGAGCAGTGCTGCTCCGACAGCTGCCCGCCGGCCGTGTGCCACCGCGCCACCGCGCCACCCGGGCCCCGCTCGGCTCCCCCTGCGTCTCCAGGCCGCCGGGGCCCCGCGCGACTCGGCTCCCCCTTGTCCTCCCACAGGCGCCTTCCGGGTGCTGACAGCGGCCTACCAGCGGTCCTCCCGGGCTGCTCAGCAGGTGTCCGACGGCTCCCGCCGGCTCTTCCAGCTCAGGGACAGCCGGAGAGAGGCAGAGAGGCTGGAGGGTCAGCTGGGAGGAGGAGCCGGAGTCGGGGGTCCCCAGCTCGTGGCCCTGAGGTTGGAGATGGCTTCCTTGCCTGATCTGACGCCGACTATCAACAAGGTGACTCATGGCCTGGAGCCCGCTGCCCCCGCTGGTCACACCCCAGCTGCCCCTTCCTGATCTTTGGCCCCTCGCCCGTGTGGGTGTGCTCCGGGGTTGCCAAGGAGACAAGCTTCTGGTGCCCGGTTGCCGTGGAGATGTCTGGCTGTTTGTTTCCTGGGTGTGGGATGGGAGAGGTTGTGGGGGAGCCTTGGGTACCCTCTTTGACGCCTCCTTCTCTCCCCAGCTCTGCGGGGGCTCCCGGCAGACGGCCTGTACCCCAGGAGCGTGCCCTGGAGAGCTGTGTCCCCGAGACAACGGCACGGCCTGTGGCTCTCACTGCAGAGGTGCCCTCCCCAGGGCGGATGGGGCCTTCCGGATGGCCGGGCAGGTGGCCGAGCAGCTGCAGCGTTTCAACGCCCAGCTCCAGCAGACCAGGGAGATGGTAGGTGCCGCCGAGGTGGGTGGGCACACGTAGGGAAAGGCTGAGGGGACAGTCAGTTTTTTTTTTAAGATTTATTTATTTATTTATTTATTTATTCATTCATTCATTCATTCATTCATGATAGACATAGAGAGAGAGAGAGAGCAAGGCAGAGACAGAGACACAGGAGGAGGGAGAAGCAGGCTCCAAGCAGGGAGCCTGACGTGGGACTCGATCCAGGGTCTCCAGGATCACACCCTGGGTCGAAGGCGGCGCTAAACCGCTGAGCCACCAGGGCTGCCCCTGAGTTAGTTTTTATTTTACAGTCAGGAGACTGTAAAAGCCTAAAGGAGATGTTAGGTAACTTGTCTGCGGCCCCGCAGCAAGAGAGAGGTAGAGTTTGGGGCCGACTCAGAGTTTTCCCCCTGACTCCCAGGTCATTTCTTGCAGATCCAAACCAGGTTAGCTACCAGTGTTTCCCAGGTCCACCTGGGGTAGCGGGTGCCCACAGAATCCCTGCGGGCTGCTGAGGGGCTCTCCTGGGGCCTCGAGCACTGCTGACCTAGCGTGTGCGTTGGCAGATCAGGGCCACCGAGAAAGCCGCCTTGAAGGTCCAGTCAGACGCCCAGCGCCTGGAGACCCAGGTGAGCACCAGCCGCTCGCAGATGGAGGAGGATGTCAGGCGCATGCGGTTCCTCATCCAGCAGGTCCGGGACTTCCTGTCAGGTGAGCCTGCCCCCCCACCCCCCCACCCCCAATATTTGGACTCCTGCCTGGTGCCAGCCCCTCCGATCCCTGTCCCCAGTGCAGAGCATCAGCTGGCTGCCTCCTCCACTCAGCTCAGGCCACCGGGGCCAGGTGCCCACGGCTCACCTGGATGGCGAGCACAGCCCTTCAGCTACGCTCCCCCCTCCCCTCCTGCTCCTCCATGGCTCACTCTCACCAGAACATCCTCAGATATCTTTGAAAAATGTGCAAGTGGGATCACAGCCCACGGGGGCTGGCCTTCCCTCATTCTCCGGGTTATCTCGGCCTCTGCTCCCCTCCTGGGTGTGGCCTCGTGTCTTTCCCTGCTTTGCTCCCCGCCCGTCTTTGACCAGGTTGGCTCTTACCTGCCTCAGAGACCTGGATGTGCTCTTTCTCTGCCTGGAATGCTCATTCCAAGGTTGCCAGTTCTATGCCCCCCTCATGGTCTTGGTCTATTGAAAATACCATCTCCCCAGAGGGGCCTCTCCCGACCCCCCTATCTGGTCCGCCTCACTCCCCTGCACCCCCCAACATCTGACCTTCATCATCTGACCTTCATCACACTGCTCCAAGCCTGTGGTTGCCGAGTTCATTTGTCTACACGTGTCTCATTAGTCTCACAACCAGACTCTAGAGTCCGGGAGGGCAGGGAATGGCTGTCTGTTCACCGTGTCACTGGCACCCAACATAAGACAGGACCACAGAAAAGCACCCAGTCTTGGTTGAAGGGATAAATGAACCAGATCCCCTCTCTTGCTGCCCTGGAGTAGAGAGACCCCTGGATAGGAGGACCCAGGAAACCTGTGACTTCTGAGCGGATTGCTTTTCTCGCTTTTCCTCATCTTTTGCTTCTGCAAACCAGGATGGTAGTATTTCACGTTTCTTCTGGGGAACCTAGTAACTGATGTAAAGCATGTTTTAAAAAATTAACGTTGCCTCAGGAATAGGAGTTGATATTATTAGATTTTTGGTCCCTGCCCGGGAATTTACTTGGCTGGGAGCCCAGTTAATAGGAGCTGAGGGCTTGGTGTTACGACAGGGCTCTTCTGGCTACTGTTGTGCCTTGGCTCCAAACGGGCCCAAACCCCCTCCTGAGTGTGGAGGGCAGGTTGGAGAGTGGCAGGGAGGGTCTGCTGGCAGCCAGGGCTTGCCTGAAGCCAGGCTGGAGTTGGCCTCCCAGGGAACCCCAGAATGGGGGTAAGTGGAGGCAAAGACATGGTGCTCAAGAGACATGGACAAAGGGGCAGGCCCACGTTTGGGGTTTGGACTCACAGATGAGGAAGTCTTCCCCCCAAGCAGAGCCTAGTGAGGCTGAATGGCCTCAGCCTTGACCAGGGTGGGAGGCAAGGCTCTGGGGTACAGCCTGGGCTCACATGAACAGGTGGGGAGTCGCTGGGCCATGGGGACCCTTTTGTCCTGTTGATTATATGCGTGTCTCAGGTCAAGTCTTTTGGCAGGACCAGGGGCAGGGAGAAGGAGCAGGGCCTGAGAGAGGCACGACCCTTGCAAAGGGCCCCGGTTGTTGTTGCCGTCTCCATGGCAGTGGGTTTTGGTGTCCAGAGTGCTGTGCAGGGGGCGCAGGTGCTTGCTGCTGTTGTGGGCGGCTCCGCGTGGGGGATGCGTGGAAGGGCTCTGGAGGACGGAGGATGCGTGGCCTTTTCCGAGGTCTTCAAATGGAATTAACAGAAATCACAGCTCAGGCTTATCGAGTTCTCACTGAGTGCCTGGCGCTGTTGTGAGTGCTTCACAGGTATTACATGATTTAATCCTGATTGCCCACCACTTTGCAGAGGAGGGCTCCAGGCACAGGGAGGTTAAGTAACCTGCCCAAGGGCGTCCAGCTTGGAGGGAAATGTGGGTAGGATTCTTCTCATTCTTCATCCACACTCTAGATGATTGTACTATTAGATGGACACATAGACACACACAGACACACATGCAGTTTTTCCTAATGTTTTTCCTCTCTCTGGATTGTGCCCCTGCGCCCCACCTCTTCTGCTCTGGCTAAGTCCTCTGCCTCCTCTGAGAATCCTCTAGTTGGCCCACTCTTCAGGAGCCCCCCATAGCCCAACACCCCCCTCCCCGCCCCATCAGACTGGGTTAGGGTGCTCCTCCAGTGGCCATCTGAGTTCCCTGTGCTCACCCGAGTCCCTCAGGCGGGCCTTCCTTGGTTATGTGCCTGTCTGTCCCACTGGGTTGTATTTTTAAGAATTCATTTATTTATTCATGAAATGCAGAGAGAGGCAGAAGCAGAAGCAGAAGCAGGCTCCCTTCAGAGCAGAGAGCCTGACACGGGACTCGATCCCAGGACTCTGGGATCACAACCTGAGCCGAAGGCAGATGCTCAACCAAATGAGCCACCCAGACGCCCCTCTGTCCCACTAGGTTTTGAGCTCCGTGAGGACAGGGACTGAGTCTGATTTGATTTGCAGTCTCGGTTCCCCACCTGCTGGCCTCAAGCCCCAGGACAAAGCATCTGGGTGGGCAGGCGCCCCCTCCCCGCCCCCTCCTCACCCCCACCCCTACTCCATCAATCCCTGGAATCTGTAAAGGTGGGAGGGAGATAGATAGGGAGGAGACCCCACACCTCTGTACCTCTGACCTTTACTCCCTGACCCAGAGCCGGGTGGTGAAATCCTTGCTGATGGATTGTTTCATCTCATCCCTTCAGGTTGTGGGTCCTTATTTCCATTTCACAGATTTGGAAAGCGAGCTTAGAGAAGCCATTTGCTTTGCCCCCGTTTGCTGGAATGGTAGGGGAGAGGCCTGGGTCTGGAGGTCCTTGAATCCTTCATTCACTCTGCAGACACCCGGCGCCTCGGTGGGCCAGGCGCTGGGGCAGGGGCTGGGGCTACGGACGACACCCAGTCCCTGCCGTTGCCGCGGGGCTTCTAGGGGGGTAAAGGAAAGCAAGGATCCATGAGTTGAGGGCTCAGCACTTGGGGGGGTTGATAAACACCCCTGTTCACATTCAGGGAGAAAGATAAAGCAGAGAAGGAGACCCCGGGGTGCTGGCACAGAGGGAGGGTTGTGATTCTGGATCGTGTGGCCAGCGCCAGCCCCTCTGAGAAGGTGACATTTGAGCAAAGACCTCATCGGTCTTTGTAGCAACGAGCGCTCTGGCCCGGGGAGGTGCACCCGGGGGGGGGGGTGCACGCGGGGGGTGCACGTGGGGAGGTGCACGCGGAAGGGGTCTTCGTGCCAGGGAAGCGGGCCTGGTTCCCGCCGCTCTCCGCAGTTTAGGGCTGATTCTGTTTGCGCTGCAGGCATTGTTCAGTCCCAGCTGTCTGGCACCACCTCCTTCTCACCAGCCTGCAGTTTCCTGTAGCGGCAGCCACTTAGTCGCCACAGCTGTGCCCACAGTCAGCCCCCACCGCCGCATGCCCGGAAGTTCCAAGAATGGGTCCCCGAGTGTCCCTGCGCGGGTGCGGGCCCGGAGAGAGCCCTGCTCTTCGGGGAGGTGGCTAGGCTCCCCGGGTCTGACGGGCGGCCGCTGTCTTCCAGACCCTGACACTGATGCGGCCACCATCCAGGAGGTCAGCGAGGCCGTGCTGGCCCTGTGGCTGCCCACGGACTCTGCCACCGTCCTGCGGAAGATGAACGAGATCCAGGCCATTGCCGCCAGGCTTCCCAACGTGGACCTGGTGCTGTCGCAGACCAAGCAGGACGTTGCTCGGGCCCGTAGCCTCCAGGCGGCGGCCGAGCAGGCCAGGTATGGCCCTAGGACCTGAGCTTCTCCCTCCCAGGGCTGGGCTGGTGTTTTGCTCCCCGGGTCCTTTGGGTGCTGGAAGAGGGAAGAGAATCAGTACATGTCAGGGGGGTGCAGAGGGCCGGGAGGCGAGAGGGGTGCTTACTGTGCTGGGGGCTGGCGAGGTGAGAAACAGCGGCCAGGGTAAACTTTGCTCGGCGTGACCCCGTCTTCCGTGTGACAGGCTGTGCCCAAAGGGCATCTCAGGTATAATACAGTCATCACATCTGCTTGGCGGGGGCCCGGGAGAGAAAAGCTACCCCCTTTTTAGTCCTGGCTGGGCAGGGTATTCTCTTGAACTGGTGAGTGCGTGAAGCTGCACATCGATCCGCTCACCGTCCACCCCTTCTCTTATCTGCCCTCCACTCCCGGGCCGCAGGAGCCGAGCCCACGCAGCGGAGGGCCAGGTGGAGGACGTAGTGGGGAACTTGCGCCAGGGCACGGTGGCGCTGCAGGAAGCGCAGGACACCATGCAAGGCACCAGCCGCTCCCTTCGGCTCATCCAGGAAAGGGTTGCTGAGGTGAGGTGGTGTGGCTTCCTTTGGCCATATTTGGGAATGAACAGATTCAGGCCCAAGATATAGAAAATGCCAGTAGGTGACCTGGAAGGGGACCTAAAAGAGGGAGGCCTGTGAGCTCTGGACCTGGCTTTGAGCCCTTGGTTTTCTGGTCCCGTGGCTGGGTGCAGAAGGCCAGGGGTGGGCTCTGGGCTGCAGCCGGGGTGGGGGAGGGGGTAGGGGATCAGCTGAGCAGGAGAGGGAGGGGGCCTGGATGCCAGGGGACAGATAGATGGGGGATCAGCAGGGGGATAGTGGTGAGTACTGGTGTCCCGTTTGGAGGTGGCCTGATGCGCTGGACAGGGGAAGGACGAGGCCCCTGCCTGTGAGACCCACCACAACCCAGGTCTCTTTCCCCACAAAGGTTCAGCAGGTCCTGGGGCCGGCGGAAAGACTGGTGGCCAGCATGACGGAGCAGCTGGGTGACTTCCGAGTGCGGCTGGCCGAGCTCCGCCGCAGGGCCAGGCAGCAGCAGGAGCAGGCAGTGAGGGCCCAGCAGCTCTCAGAGGGCGCTGAGCAGCAGGCGCTGAGCGTCCAGGAGGTGAGAGCGGGCGGAGGTTGTGCTGGGCGACACCAGCCAGGGTGAGGGTCCTGAGCAGGAGGGCACTTGGTACACTCTATGAGACCCTGGGCCCAAAAGCAATTGGAGCATGTTATTCTAGAATCACTGGAAAAGGCTTCAGGGCTCACCTTGACCCTGCCTGGCATCTGGACTCTACCTCGGGCTGCCTCCGGGGAACTAGTTCAAGGGTGTTGCAGATGATCTAGTCCAGTCCCTCCCTGTGTACCTGATGGTAAACAGGTTTACCTGATGGAGGGGTAATTTTGCTCAGGCCCAAAGCTCCCCTACAGAGCAAGTTCCTTGACATCTAATCCAGAGCTTGTCCCCGGTCGTGGCTACACACCCCAGACAGGCAGTCTTGATTTAGCCTCACCTGGGTCCCATCATTGTCAGAATTATGTCAGAGAGGCGGTCCGAGAGCTATCCTCTGGGTCTCCCATGTACCATTGTCCCAGGATAGTGGCCTGGCTGCCAAGTCCACTGCTAAGTGTCAACTAAGCGTGTGGCCCTGTGTGGGAAGTTAGGTGGGAAAGGAGCCACAGGTGGAGGGAGGGAAATACTGAAGAAGTGTAAGGTACAGTTTGGGGCCTAGAGGTTTTCACAGGCCGAAGTAACACACCGAGGAGTATCAGCGGGCTCCTCATCCCTGTGTAGGGATTGGGAGGATATCGAGTGCTTTAGCCAAAGGTCTTTAGGACTTTGGATGATGAGGATGGTGGCATTGAGACTGTCTGACCTTTTTCAGGGATTTGAGAGGATGAAGCAAAAATATGCTGAGTTGAAGGATCAGTTGGGTCGGAGTCCCATGCTGGGGGATCAGGGCAACCGGATCCTGAGCGTCAAGACAGAGGCAGAAGAGCTGTTTGGGGAGACCATGGAGATGATGGACAGGATGAAAGGTGAGGGGACAGTCCTGGGCCTTGGACTCCTGAGCATCCCAGGAGGCCGGTCCCAACCCAGGGCTTCTGAGGCCCATCCTTGTCAGAGCTACGAGTGCTAAGGGGATGAGACCGGTAAGGCTTTCCCAAGCTCCTAGGAAGTATGAGGCACTTCCTCATGGGGCTGTGGGGAATGTGACGTGCGCATAAGACTTACCCTCAAGAGCTTGCAATCCAGATGGGGCCATTTTTCTGGTCACCTGCAAGAGGAATGAAATTGTTCAATAGCACAAGGGGATCTGTGACAGGAGCCCGCATAGTGAGTGCCCTGTGGACAAACATTTCCCTCAGACATGTTCAGTGAAGGTAATGTTCAGAAAGACACGATTTGACATAGGCCTGGAAGGATGTGTAGGCCTGGGGGAGGCTGTGAGGGAAAGCAGGAACATTGAGATGGGGTGGGTAGGAGGCAACAAGACACGTTCTGAAGGTGGAGGCAGGAGCACTGACCAGGACAGGAGCAGTGATGAGGATCAGAACGGGTGGGAGAGAAGTGGCCTGGGGTCGGTGTGGCTGGGTCCATGGGGCTGGACTCTGTGCCAGCACGAGAGGGGTAGACTCAGCGCTGGAGGCAGTAGGGAACCATCCAAAGGTTTTTTTTTTTTTTTTTAATATGGCAGCAGCACAAAAGTAGTTTTTTCAAAAGGGCTCTGAGGTTCTTCGGAGAACAGGGAGAACAGGGATTTCCAGGGACTGGGCTCAGTCTCTAAGACGCGATGATGGGTCAGTGCCCTGGTGTGTCCAGGGAATGTCCCAAATGGAATGTCTCTGAATTTCAGAGAGAGAACAGGCAAAAATCTGTTTGGCGAGGCAGGTAGACACCATGGAGAAGGCTGGGCTGGTGAGTTGACAGTGGGTAGATCGGAGGCTGTGGCCAGCCATCCCTGAGGGGTGAGCTGCTGACCTGGATGGGGGAGCCCAGGGGCCTGGGTCAGTGCCCACCCTGCCTTTGGCCATCAGTGTTTTACATGAAGACGAAGAGTTTATCAAACCTGTGGGTGGCAACAGGTCATTCATACCTTAGGCCGCAGAACCAGAATTCTAGGGCCATCTCAGAAGTCTACCAGGATGGGCTGAAACTAACAGGGGAGAACGAAAGAGAAGTATTATCTTCCATTCTGGCCTTTTTGAGCCTAAACTTGCAAGTACAGTTCAGGTGAGGGCTGGCTTCTCAGGGGCTCACATGCCCAAAAACACTTTATAACTGGTAAAATGATAAAACATTTTGTAACTGGTAAGTGATCAGCAAACGTGAACTCTTAGTCACCTGAAAAAAAACCCAAGGGTTTTGAGTGATCGTGAGCTCCGTGTACGTCAGCAGCATCCTGCTGCTGTCGAAAGAGCGAGTAAATACAAAGCATCCAATGTAAGGGGAGTAATGGTTCAGGGATATTAAAAATCTTTAGTCACCGGTATGTGACACATTTACCAACCAGAAGAGGCTCGAGTTGAGCAATGGGACAGGTATTTATTTACCTGTCTGCAGGAATTTACCTTTCATTGCAGGATTTGGGGAAAGATCATGCATAGGGTGGGTGGGTGGGTGGCTCTGGGGGCGAGGGTCAGGGAACACAATAGCAGCTGCTAAAATTTCAATATGTGATCAGTCTGTGGGTCTGTGTGGGAGCCCACTGGCTGGATGTCAGCCCAGTAACATCCCTGTTACACTCTGCTGGTGGGATCTCACCTTGCGGATGGTGTTCAGTGGTGGCTACTACATCCTCAGAAGGGAGATTGATGGACAAGCCTCCACGTAGCAGAGGGAGGGCGACCAGGGTTGGGAGGTAGAGAAGGCTCAATAATCATGTCAGATGAAGAAGGGGTGAAGGAACTAGGGAGATTTCTTCTGAGAAGATGTGGCCTCAGACACTTAAAGGACTTCCTTGTGGGAGGCGGAGCACAGATATTCCCATACCCCTAGGAGATGGCCCTGAGACAACTTGGGTGGAAGCAGAAATGTTCAGATTCTGGCTTCATGAGAAGACTTTTAACAGCTAGAGCTGCCTCAGGTTGGAGCCTTGTGAGGCAGCGACCCCCTCCCTATTCCTAGGAGAGTTGAGGCTGAGGCTGGGTGCTGGCTCTCGTGAGCATGGTAGAAAGGCCTCTTGTGTAGGGCGACAGGTCTCGTGCTGTTATGCAGAACAGACCAGAGCGAGTGGACTAGATTTATCTGGAGTGGCATTTGGGGGAGGGAAAGTGCAGAGGAATTCTGGTCTCCTAGTCGGCTCTTTGGCTCTTTGGCCTCAAGTGGTGCCCACTTGAGGGTCATTGGTGGGACGGCAGCTGAGTCCTAGAGGTTGTTAATCTTGATGACAGTGGCCTCCCTCATCAGTCGGAGACAACTGAGAGAGTCCCAACTAGAGCAGAGGAGGAGGGTAGGGGCTTCCTGGCTCTGGTTTCACTAAGAATGTGGGTGGTGGGGGAGAGCCTTGAGGCCGGAGAGGCCTGCTCCAGTGTCCAGGCTCCACACAGGTGATTCCTCCTGCAGGTGCTGCTTCCAGGTGGGTGGGAAGAGAAGGAAGGGGTGGGCGTCTTTGGGTATCTCACCAGCTCCTCCTCCTCCCCTTGCTGTTCCATCTGCCCTCAGACATGGAGTCGGAGCTGCTTCGGGGAAGCCAGACCATCCAGCTTCGCTCGGCAGACCTGACGGGGCTGGAGAAGCACGTGGAGCAGATCCGAGACTACATCAATGAGCGAGTGCTCTACTATGCCACCTGTAAGTGATGGGCCGGCCTCCAGCCCCTGGCCCTGCTCATCTACGCTCTTTACTTTTGGAGGACAGACGGGGTTGGAATACAGCTCCAGGAGACTTTTATACAGCCTAAAGCACAGCCCGGACCCCCCTGGTGTGCAGCTGTTAAGATTATTCTGGGCTGCAGCTGAGCCCTCGCTGATGGGAAACTACATGTGAGGGACAGAGGTGGAGGCGGGCCATGTCGTGGCGACGTGGAGCTCCCGAGGGGAGGTGCGCGCCTGGCTGGGCTGTGTCCTTGCCCTTCATCTTCCCTCGAGGCCGAATCCTGGATGAACACGCAAACTTAACCAAAACAATGATGTGCAAACAAAAAGCCCAATAAAAATCTTTGGAAAGGAGTCTGGATGTTGAAAGAGAGACAACGGTCTGTCTCCGCATTAAGTAAACATTTGTCGCTTATTCTTGTCTCCCACGTGGGGTTCCTGGGGGCTCCCCTGCTCAAGCCCAAGGCTTGGTGGCACATGAGGCATAGGCTACCCCACTTTGCTGGCTCGTCACCCAAACTTGGGGCAACTCGACCCCTTTGCCCCAGGATCCAACAGATCCCATCCTTGAGAGACCAGACAAGCGATTTTGGTCTTTGAGTGGCGATCCGGGTTCCCATTCACCGACGAGGAAATAGAAATCCAGAGAAGGGAAGTATTGTGTCCACATCCACACGGCTCCAGAGGCGGAATCTGTGTCTCTTGGGATCTCTAAGAGAGGTTGCTAATGGTTGTGCATTTGTGCGTGTGGCATATGTGGAGACGGCGTGAATGTGCCAGTGCTAACCCGGGCCCTGCCGTGGGCCAGGCATCCTATCTACATTTTCTTGATCACTATTTATCATGCTAGTTGTTTATTGAGCCCGGTGCTACATGCTCCGTCTGGGCTATCTCCTGTCGGTGGTGCTGCTGTTCCCAGTTGACGACTGAGGAAACCAAGGCACAGAAGGCTGTCTTGGTCCCCCCAGGGTCACAGATGGGGCAGGGCCGGGCAGGGCCGGACTTTAAATTCGTGATCATCTAATGCAGTCATTAGGGGGATGGATGCCGGAGCTCCAACAGAGCCTACCCCGGGGGTAGTTGTGAGGAGTAAATGAGTCAACAGATGTAACTTGGGCAGCCCGGGTGGCTCAGTGGTTTAGCGCTGCCTTTGGCCCAGGTCGTGATCCTGGAGACCCAGGATCGAGTCCCCCGTCAGGCTCCCGGTGCATGGAGCCTGCTTCTCCCTCTGCCTGTGTCTCTGCCTCTCTCACTCTCATGAATACATAAATAAAATCTTAAAAAAAAAAAAAAAAAACAGATGTAACTCATGTCACTAAGTACCTGGCACCCGCTACGCTCTCAGTCTGTGTCAGCCCCTACCCTGCCGGCTTCTACCCTGAACCCAAGCCCTCAGTACACCTTCCGCTCCACACAGGCTCGGAAACCCCAGAGCCACGTGTGACTCTAAGAATCAAATGAGGGGCACCTGGGTGGCTCAGTGGTTGAGCACCTGCCTTTGGCTCAGGTCATGATCCTGGGCTCCTGGGATTGAGCCTGCTTTTCCCTCTGCCTGTGTCTCTGCCTCTCTCTCTCTCTCTCTCTCTGTCTCTCATGAATAAATAAAAATAAAATCTTAAAAAAAAAAGAAGAAGAACCAAACAAAGCCTCATAGAGAAAAATATGTCCATTTTATTGAGCACAACACCGAGCGTGAAGCTGGAGGGGCCGGAGCACAAGAAAACCAGGGAGGGACAAGAATAATGCCCCTGGTTTTCAGGGCGGGACAGAGAAGAAGAGAAGCGAGAGGCGACTTAGCAGCTGAAATGAAAACAGTCAACTTCCAAGTTTGACTTCATGGGGACTGGGTGAGGCATCTGGCCAGGGTGACACCTCCGGACAGTACCGCGTCACCGATTTGCTGTCTCTTGCATCCTGAAGGCTGTGGCGCTGCCTTGGGCCTGGGGCAGGATGGGGAGGTGATCAGCAGGGCGCTGGGTCAGCTGGAGCCCACCCTGGACCCCGGGCCTGGCCCCACACAGCCGCCTGTCCTTCACGCCGGTGGGCAGGCGACCACATTCCGGAGCCCACGCCAGCCACTGGCTGGCAGCTTGGAGGCAGGAGCATGTGTTGAGGGGGGGTCTGGGTGGGCACGTGGGCCCGTAGCTCCCGGTGCCACTCACAGCATCAGGTCCCTGCGACTCTGCAGCCGGGCTCGCCTCCTGGGATGGGAGCCCTCCCTGAGCCCCCACACTGACCCTGCACCCCCCCAGACCCCCCCCAGCTCTGAGTCGCCTCACCTGAAAATCCACACCTGCGTGGGCTCCAGGGATCACATAATGAGACAGACTCCGGTCTGCCCCGCCCGGCAGTGGGAACTGCCACCGGCTTTCACAGGCACCATGACCTCGGATTTGTAGTTCCTGGAAGGTAAATGAGGCAGCGGGCTGTGGAGCATTGGAGGAGTGGGGACAGGCTGCGTGGCTCCCCTGGTGTGGCCTCCACTCAGCCCTCCCTCCATGGAGTACAGGCCCTCGCAGAAAGGACAAAGATGACCACAAAGGCCCGCAAAACACCATGGTTCCAGACACTCGAAACCTAGCGCCCACCACTGCGCGTACTCCGCTTTCTGCAAGCCTCTGCAGCTCCCGTTGCTTCCCTGACCTTGTAAGCACCTTTATGAGGTGGGCTGAGCAGGTGAATGCGATTTTACAGGGGAGCAAACCAGAAACAGAGACATTGACGGGTCTGCCAACAGCCACCCAATGAGTGGTAGGGACGGGACTGGAGGCATCTCCCCTGCCCCCCCATTCAGGGCTCTCGTCGCCCTGCAAGGCTGTCCCCCTTGGGCCAGTTTCTTTCAGCCCCACCGCCTGAGCAGGGCTAGGCCTCTGCCTTTGGCCAAAGGTACGTACTGTTTTTTGTTGGCTTTTCTGAAGAGCGTGGGCTCGGAGCAGTAGGAGGACTTCCCTTTGCTCCCGATGCTCAGGCAGCTGGAGCAGCAGCCGCAGGGCCCGGCGGCCAGGGGCCCCTGCTGCATGGGCACCAGGCTGCTGCTGATGCGGAGCGAGCCATTGACCAGGCAGTTGAGGGACCTGGCGCCGGGCGCCGTGGGCCGGGGACCGTGCTGGCAGGGCAGCCGCGTCAGAGCAGGCGGAGCTGCACTCTGGTCCGGGGCCGGGGCCTCGGTGATGGTGATCTCGGACGAGTTGGGTCTCGAGGCTTCTGAGGCTGGGGGGCCGGGTGGCCTGTTCTCCACCTCCGGGCGGATGCCTGGGCTGTGCAGGTTCATGTGCAGCTTCCTCATGTGGTGAACCACAGCTGCTGCGTTGAAGGCTTGCTAGGGAGACACCAGACCAGCCTCTGGCCACCTCTGTTCTCGGAGGGCACCGGGGCTCAAGCCTTCCCTTGGCCCTGTGGCCTCTTGAAACTCATGTGCCCACTTCTCCTCCCAGAGAGGGTGCAGGGAAGCCCCAGGGACAGGCCCTACCCCAGCCCGGCCCCGGCTCAGCCTCCAGGGGCCCAGAACACCCGGCCTACCTCCCGGAAAGGGCAGCTTACCCTCCACTTGCTCTTGGCAAAGTTCTTCTGGATCTGGAGACTGACTGAGGGGTAGATGTCCCGGTGGAGGGCCGTGTTTCCATCAATCCTGTGGGTGTAGAAGGGACACCTGGCTAGTGGGGAGCTGGGGGAACCCAGCCAGGGGTCGGGCAGGGGCCGTGCATGCAGGTCCAGGGTGAGCCGAGTGGAGTGCCTCGGAAGAAGGGTGGCCCACAGCAGGGATGGGCTGCAGCCAGGGCTCCTCTGTGCCCCTGGGCAGGTCATTGCACGGCCCATGCTTTGGCAAAACCAAAACCTTGCTTTATAGTGGGGTGGGCTGACTATGACCTGTCGGCCACATCTACCCACTGCCTGTTTTTGTAAACAGGCATCTCACTGGGACACAGACAGGCCCATTCGCTCAAGCATGAGCTACGGCTGCCTCCATGCTATAAGGGCAGATTGACTAGGTGCCAGGTAGGTGGGAGGGCCAGCTAAGCCTAAAATACTTATTTTCTGGCTTCTTACAGAAAAAGCTTTCTGGCCCCTGTGTCAGAGGGTGCTTGGGTTGTCGCTACCCTATAGTTTGAAACTTTACTCAGGACCCACCTGCTCCTGGAAGCCTTCCTCAATGAGGCCACCTGATACAGGCGGCCCCTTTCTTGGACATCCATCTCTAAGTGTTCCTCAGATACTTGCCATACACACAGAACTTTCTAGGCACCAGGGACACAGAGAAGTGACAGATGGGACCCTGATCTCTGGGGCTTTCCAGCGTAGCTGCAGCACCCTGTTCCATGCTGGGAGCTAGAGTAACTCATGGTAATCTGTGTCATGGATAAAGAAGGGTAAGGAGGAGTAACGTGGCCTGGAGAAGTCAGGGCTTCAGGGAAGGGCAGAAACTAGTTTGGATCCTGAGGGATGCCTTATACGTAAGGCAAGAGGTAGAATGTCCTAGGTGGTGAAAATGGTGTGACCCAAGGTGGAAGTTGGAAAGAGCTTGGGATATGAGGTAGGGGAAGGGAGGAAGAAAAATACAGGGATGCCTGGGTGGCTCAGCAGTGGAGCATCTGCCTTCAGGTCAGGTTGTGATCTCAGAGTCCTGGGATCGAGTCCCCGCATTGGGCTCTGCACAGGGAGCCTGCTGCTCCCCCTGTGTAGGTCTCTGCCTCTGTCATGAATAAATAAATAAAATCTTTAAAGAAAATATAGAGAGAAATACAGCTTTTAGGCCTTTCTAGAACAGAGAAGGTGTGTTGGGAATTTGGGGGAAATAAAGTCAGAGGTAAAAAAATCAGGGAAAACCTGCAAAGGTAGAGGAATCAAGGCTTGCCGTGATAGGACGTGAGGCGCTATTGTGAATCTTGAGCACGGGGGTCTTAGCATGGAAAAACAGTGTTGTACGACTTCATTTATTCATTTCACTGTTTGGTTGCCTTGTGATTCTTCACAAATCACCTCACTCAGAACGGGTTTTGACCCCACAGTGAAATGATGCTCTCAAGGACAGGGCGGAGCTGCCTATTTCTGGATGCTTCTTGAGTAGCTAGTAGTGAGTATTACACCCTAGTACTGATATGACAGCTGCCAGTCTTGGGTCAGAACCTGTGTCATTAAATGCTGTTTGCATCTGGACCTGATCAACACGTCTATGCTCCTTGGATGCCGCAAGAGTAAAGAGCTCAGGGCAAGCAAACTCTTGGGAAACGCCATGCGAATGAGTCATCGTGGCATTTGGGAATCACAGAGCCAGGGTCCAGAGCTCACCCCATCCTCACTCACCAGGGGTGCCTCAATGCCTTCTCACAGGTGTACCGTTCATTCGGGTCCTTCTCCAGCAAGTGGCAAATAAAATCCTTGGCTGAGGGGAGCAATCAGAGACACAACTGAGGACCAGATTTCATGACTGATGGAAATTCACTTCCGGGCTGGTGGGTGGCAGTGAATGCATCTTTAGCTAATTTTCCAAAGAGGCAATTTTAAGAGTCTTAGAGAAAAAAAAAATCCAAGCCACCCAACAACAACCCACCATAAACCACCAAGGAGAGGCTCTACGTAGCCTCACCCACACAGCGCTGCATATACAGCTCTTATCACGAGGCCCCAACGTGCCTGCATGCCACAAGCATATGCATTTGCACCATTCAGAGGCAGGCACCCACACGTGGGCACACGTGAGTGCTGCCTCGGCCCAGCTCTGCTCTCCACTTGATGGACCCAACGACATGTAATGACTGCCTTTTCTCACACACACAGGCATCGCATGCTCTCAGTCTTGATATATAATGAAGGCAAAACTTGGCCTTGGTTTTGCCACTCCTGCCTGGAACACTCCCTAGTGCCTGCCTCTGCCCTCCGGGCCCCCCTCTAAACTACTTTACCAGAGAGGCTGTGGTTCTGTCTCCAGGAAAACAAAAGCATGAAGCTTAGATGCGAATAATTTTTTTGGCCTTTGAGCCAGATGAAGATTTCTCCACTTTCCTTGGCAGCCTGTTCTCTAAGATTCCCCGGGGACTTTCAAGAGCCAGGACTGTCATCCATTGTTACACTCTTTTCTCTTGGCAGCCTTTGCCTTGAGCCTGTTATCTTGTCCTTCACACCTGCTAGCCTTACCTGACTCAGAAATGTCATCCCAGAATGGAGACTCAAATTCATAGTAGCCCTCCTTGATCTTCTCGAAAAGCTTAGACTCAGTTTCTTCATAGAAGGGGGGATACCCACACAACCTGCAGTGAAATAAGAAGGAAGCATGCTACTCAACGACCCCAGTCTCCTTGGGCCAGCCTCCACTGCATACACAGGCAGGAGCTAGGATCCCCAACCAGCAGTAGGGGCAGGACATGGATCTGCCTGATTCTGGAATGATGCAGGCCCCATTGAGTGTTTATGCAGGAGCCAAAGGTTGGAACAGGCAGCTGTGGAAGGCCCTTTTATGCATTATTCCCGCAAGCTCTCAATGCCTCTCCTATGCCTCCCTGCAGTTAGATGATGTATAAAATATCTTAGGACAGATGAGAGAATGTCTGCTTGAATGTACATTTCGTGAGGGATTTTTTTAGGCTATTTTGTTCTTTATTTTTTAGTACCTAAACCAGTGATTAGCACAGAATAGACTGTCAATGAATATTTGTCGAGCACACGAATGAATGACAGTAGTTATTTAACATAAGCTTAGTAAATAAAGAACTGAGTCCATGCGAAGGGATAAATAGGTTATTTTCCTAAAAGCAGAAGCTGCTGTAGATGAGGAGGGATGGAGGGGAAGGGGTGATGAGTAGGTTTGGAAAGGAGAGCCCAAGAATATGTGGACAGGAGCTATGACCAGGTTCATTCAGGCCATCATTTTGCTTTGGGAGGACTTGCCAGGAGAAACATCTGAGACGTGAACATTGTGCCCACTTGGCTGCCCACTTGGCTTCCAACTTGGCTTGGCCTCTCCTTTCTTCATTGCTCATTCCACAGAGCAGGACTCAACACATTAACAAAGAGTAAATGGAGGTGGGAGTGCAAGAAGAAGAGAACCATATGGCTGAACAGTGGGTTCACACTGAGCTTTGTTTTAATTGTCTGGTGGAGACCAGGACAGAAACCTCTGGAGCTGTGTGCATGGGTAAGTGTGTGTGTGTGTGTGTTTGCGCGCGCACATGCACCTGCACATGCTTTGATGGTGGATGTTGCTTGAGGAGCTAAGATAGGGGAGGGGAGAAAAAGGATGAGCAGGTTCTGAGATTTCCCAGGAACTGAGCCAACGCCAGCTTCTACTCACAGTATGTAAGTGATGACGCCAATGGACCAGCAATCCACAGCCTTGCTGTAGGGTTTCTGGGCCAGCACTTCCGGAGCTGCAGCAAACCAAAGGCAGAGTCAGGGCTGGGACAAGAAGAGAGGGCTGAGGGGCAAGGGTCAAAGGTCAGGAAGAGGCTTAGAGAAGCAGAATAGGAAAGCCCCCAGGATGGTAGTGTTTCTGTAAGAATGAAACCTTTCCTAGGGTAGGGTCTCCCATCAGACTGAACCTTCCTCCATCAGCCTGGAAGATCCCCATGACAGGGCCTAGGACTCTTACATCAGGCTGAGTACTGTCTGAAGGCAAGTCTATGTCTCCCCATGAAGATCGGGCATCCCAGGGCTGGAGCTGTGTGTCTCTGTTCAGATGGGGATATCTGCAATATACGGGCAGTCTCTGTCCTACTAGATGGGGTTCTCCCTGAGGGAAGAGACAGTCTTTTACATTATATGAGGAATTCTTAGAGGGCAGGTCACAACTGTCCCATCCGTCTCAGTTACCTTCTGAGGGTGAGGTTTAGTCTGGCCTATCAGATCGAGAGCTCCTTGAGAAAATGAGCCATGTCGTCCTCTGTCTGGGAGCAGTAGAGAGCTACCTTCTGTATTTATCCCAAATACCAGGGCTTTGTATTCAGTGGGACTCAATACATACGGACTGAGCTCTCTTTGAGGGTGAGAGCAGATTTCCTCTATGATGTTAGAGGTCTCCTTCCTACATGCCATCCTCAAGCAGGTGATGAATTGCTAAGAGGGAAGGGGCAGGGGCGGATGCTCTGAGTTTTGACTTCCTCTCTGTGGATCTCAGGAATGCTTCCACCTGGTTACTTGCCTGCTTTTGCTTTTTTGGGGGGCCTTGAAAGCTTCCTGTTTAAGCAGGAGGCCCCACCTTTGCCAGTTTCCTAGGGTGTTTCTTTGGGAATATATTTGGGGAGGCATGCCTGGGTTCTTCAGTTCCAAACTCAACACTATGCCTCTGGGATACCAAGAACTGGGACACTGAGGTCTCCTGTGGAAGTGGGAGAGAGGAAAAGGGGGGGCTAGTGGTCAACTCCTTGGCAATCCAATAATCTCTGGTTTTATGATCTTGTCTCTGACCCAGACAAAGGCAGGAATCTGTGTGCAAAAATGAGAGCCAAGTATAGGCAGGCGCTGTGGGAAGAGCTCAGGGGTAGGCTGTTTCTAAAGATGTAGGGTTTGGGAGCAGTAGGGGTAGTTTCAGAGATACATGGATTCTACCCTAAGCTTCATAATGAAGCTTGGATTCATTATGGATCATTATGGATTATTTGGATTGCCCCTGAAGTTGAACCCTGTATCCCTAGAACCATCCCTCTCTGTTAAATATCCATGAAGTTGAACACAGCCAACTGGTCAACCTTCCTCCTACTCCCAGACTCACCCACGTAGCCGGGGGTCCCACAGGCAGTGGACATGACCCCACTCTGTTCCATCTTGGACAGACCAAAATCTGTGATCATGATCTTAGAATTCTCTTCAGGGGTTAGGTACAGCAGGTTTTCAGGCTGTGGGAGAAGAGCAATGTGAGGCAATATAGGATATAATCATCTGAAATATGTATTTCTTTCCCTCCCCTGATATATAATTTCTTAGGAAGCTGAGCTCCAGGCTCCCGGCTTCAAGGTCAGGCTCATCTTCCCCAATTCTTCCCTCCTTCTTCCTACTGCAGCCCCCGACCCCGTATCCGAACACTCTGTATTTTGCTTTTGACCCTCATGTGCTCAGCTTTACAGCCACTAATGTGCTACTCCCACCCTCTCCTCATCCCCAGCTACTCTAAGATTGAGGGAACCAAACTAAAGTTAATTGTCTCTGATCTCTCCAAAGTCTAGTACATGCCTGATGCAATGCTGATCCCAGTAAGTATTTATTACATTTGATTTGGACCGTGACTAGGTTTAAGAAACATGTGGATTTTCTTGGTATCCTAATAGGGTGAGGCCTAGTAAAAAGTTCAGGAAAAGGCTGAGATGAAAATCATCAGTGATTGCTCAGTCATTTAAGATTTGTTTAAGTCATCTAAGGGCAGAAGGGGCCTTAGGAGTCTATTAGTCCAACCCTCTCATTTTACGGGGCTTAGGCTGCCCATGACCCAGGCAGCTTCCTAAAGGGTCATTCTCTGTTTCCCACTGAGGACTCCCACTTTGGCACCTTTAAGTCTCTGTGGACGATGCCATTCTCGTGGAGGTATTTCACTGCTGACAAGACCTGCTGGATCACCAGGCTGGCATCCTTCTCTGTGTAGACACCCCGCTCCAGGATCCGGTCAAAGAGTTCCCCGCCAGAAACACTGTGGGCATAGGGGCAAGCGCAGGAATCCAGGTCTTATTTCAGGTCAAAGGGAGATAAGTCTGTTTGCTCTGTAGCCATGAAGACACAACTGTGGTGGAACAGGCAGGTGCTCATGGCCTGGGCAGGGAGGTCTACTTTACTCTGAGAATATCTCCTTTGGGTGTTGGAATGGTATCACGAGGGAGTCATTTCTTTGGGCCATTACTCTCTCCCTGGGCCTTTCCTTAAAATAAATACAAAATGCTCCTGGCTAGAGTCAAGTAAGAAGCCAATAATCACTTAGTGGGAGCTGCCTACTTTCCTGGCCTGGGACCAGGGAGCCACAATGAAAAGGAGACGTGAGACTGAAATCAGGCCAAGGCAGGAAAGAGAAGGTGTATGAATGAGTTGAATTGTGCTTGGGTCAGGTTTTCTTTCCTCATTGTGGACAACCGGGCTGCCTAAAGCCAGAATCATGGGTGGAGTTGTAGTGGTGTTTGGAGACTCCAATGGTATGGTATCTCAGGATTCAGGGGCTTTAGGATCCAGTCTGTCCCCCATCTCTTAAATGCCATCTATACTATTTTTGCCAAGAAGTTCTGTAGTCCATCCTAGAACACCTCAGAGGGAGACCACTCACTGCCTCCTAAGAAGATTGCTTTGTCTTTCAGCACCTTCTCAATATTTCTCTATATTATGCTGAAACCCACTCCCTGCAGTTTCAGCCAGCAGATGCCACTTCCACCCACTGGGGCCATGCAGAGCAAGAAAACCCTTCTTTCACATGAATGTTTTCCAATATGTGAAGACAGTGAAATGCTCAGTTGAGGTCATCTCTGGAGGAAACAGTCCAGCCTACTTCTCCCATGAGCCAATTCTCTCACAGTCCTGGCCCCCTTCTCACTGTTTCGGGGCACTGGATACCGACATGCGCACAGGATAGGACCATGCAGTAATGAGGAAGGAGAATTTCTCTAATCAAAATGCACACCACTCTACTGCTTTTGTTTCTGTCCTGAAGCTCTGGATTCTGCTATAGGAGCTAGACACACCCATGAGAAAGGTAGTTTTTATGCACAGCTCGGAATTCCTGACTTGGAATGGCCTGGGTCCTAGAGCTCGCACTCTCATAGGCTTTGCGACTCTTCAGTGACATCTACATCCGCCTACTTCCCTGTCTCCCCTTAGCTGTCTAAATGTGTGCTAATCCCCTTGAATTGGCCTCATTAAGGTGCCACATGGTTCCTGCTCATTTGTTAGTGCTGTTCTATTTCCCCCACCCCCACCCCCAGCCCAAGCTCACTTCCTTGACCACCTGCTCCTCTAGTCACTGGGCCTCAGGTGAGCCTCAGAGCTAATAGGCTGCTTAGGCCCGAGTTAGCTCATTAAAGTATCTGAGGAATCTGCCTGTCAGTCAAAACTATTGCTTCTGGCTACAGAGATTGCCGAGTGACGAGTGTGCGTGTGTGTCCTTTATAAATAGAAGTTTCTCGGAGTCCAAGGCTGAGCCCTCAGGAGCACCAACCCACTCCTACAGCATTCACTCTCAGCCAGAACTCCTATTTATATATGACAATGATGCGGAGACTTTTCTAGTGAGGTGCCATTTGTGTCCTACAGATGGGCATACATGATCACCGCCTGTTTTTAACTTTTTGGATGGATGTCTTTTGAGAAAGTCTTCTTTTTTATATCGAATTGAGATCTATGTACCTGTGGTTTCTAATCCCACAGTAATTTTACCCTGGAGTGGCATGGAGACATTTATTTATTTATTTACTTATTTATTTATTTATTTATTTATTTTTTAAGATTTATGTATTAGAAAGAGAGAGGGGACACATGTGCATGAGCAAGCAGGGGTGGGGGAGAGAATCCTCAAACAAACTCCTTCTTGAATATGGAGCCCAATGAGGGACCCTGATTCCGGGACCCCGAGATCATGACCTGAGATGAAATCAAAAACCACCTGCTCAGCCAACTGAGCCACCCAGGCGCTCTAGCATTAGGACATTTAATATTCATTTGGGTGGATATAGAAAGACGAGTCAAAGTGGACTCAAGCCATGGTGCCAGAGAAGGGTTCTGGACATGCCCTGCTGTGCCGGCATTATCCCTTCAACCGTGGGGTTGTGGGAAATTCCAGGAAGTCTGAGGAGAGTGGCTGGGGCAACAGGGGAAGATGGATAGGTTGGAGTCCCAGCTATTTGCTGACTTGTAGAAAATATTTTAACGACTGGTAAGGCTGTACTGGTACAGATCATCTCAATAATCAGTCCTGGATTTACCCCTCATTCCACACAGAACGTATTTGTGACCAGTAGCATACCTAGTCTGAGAACTCTTGGCATTTGAGAACCTCTTTAGCTAATTCTTGATCTTTTTTAAAAAATATTTTATTTATTTATTCATGAGAAACATAGAGAGGCAGAGATATAGGCAGAGGGAGAAGCAGGCTCCCTGCAGGAGCGGAACTCGATCCCAGGACCCTGGGATCACACCCTGAGACAAAGGCAGATGCTCAACCACTGAGCCACCCAAGTGCTCTGCTAATTTTTGATCTTATCCTTTGGATCACCACACTCCCCTCACCACCGAGCAGTGTCCTCTAGGCCTCGAAGGCCCCCTGAGACCTGTGGAGGAAGTGGGTCACCTTTCACTTACAGCTGCATGACCAGGTAGTAGTGAGTGGTGCTCTCATAGATGTCCTCTAGGGTCACGATGTTTTCATGCTTGATCCTGGGGGAAAGTAAGGTTCATGGTGAATGGTATATGGTGTAGGTGGTCCAGACAAAGAATGGACACCCAACCCACCGGACTTTTACTTCTGTTAGAGACTTTTGATGACAATGTGTAGGAAGAGTGGATCCTTGTGAAGCCTTCCTAATAAATAAGCAGTTACAATGAAATCCTAGAGAAAAGATGCCAGAGTAGTGTTCAATCCATATTTTTGAATGGATAATTGATCATTCTGCCCTCAGGGAACCAACATTCTGTTGCTACTCCAGAAATCTCTTCGGTTTAAAAGAACTGAAGAAGGCTAAGGGAACATCCAAAACTAGATTATTTTATAAAATGGGTATCCAGATCTCCTTCAGAAACATTCTTGAAGAAAGTGGAGTGCAACAGAAGACAATCAGGTTAGCTAAGCCTCCTCATGGGTAACCATGGAAGGAGCGTTGCAAAATTATTATTCCAGATATTGTGAGGTACAGGAAAGATGCTGATTTCTGGGGTCAGTTCTGTGGGATGCCTTGGATTAGCAATTCTCAGTCAGGGGTTTTTTTGTCCTTCGGGATACATTTTGGCAGTATCTGGAGATATTGTGACTGGGGAGGGGGCAGGAGCTACTGCCATCTGGTTGGTGGAGGCAGGAATGCTGTGAAATATTCTACAATGCACACAGAATAGCTCCCAACCCAATCAAGAATTATTTGGTCTAAAATGTCAATAGCACTGTGTTCAGGAAAATTTGCTCTAAATTCCCTCTGCCTGGGATTACTCAGGGGCCAAGACAAACAGAAGAATCATATTAACTGGGGGGCTTGGCTTCCTAGGCAGCAGTTCTATGCAAGCCTGTCCAGGAGGAACGTTTCTAGGATGTTAAACTCACGGCCGTGCAGCACAGGGGTTAAGGACTTGGACTCTAAGTCAGTTGGGCTTGAGTTCAGATCTGGCTGAGAATCTTATGAATTGGGTGATTTTGGCTGGCTTTCTCAAATCTTCTAAATCCAACTTCTTGGTTTATAAAGTACACCTCTGTCATAGGGTTATATCAGGATTAAAAGAGATAATTGCATGTAAAACGTCTAGTATAGTGCCTGGGGAATAATAAACATACAATCAACAGTAGCGAGCATATTTAAGTTTAATTTCTAAAAATATAGACCCATTACAGTGGTTCCCTGATGGATTCAACCACACTTACAAGCTGACAGTGCTAACATTAATTTGTCAATGGTTCATTTATTGAACAAATATTGACTGAGGATCTATGCTGTTAGGGACTGATGCTACAATGCAATGGCAAGAAGGACCACCATAGTCCTTGCTCTCAATGAGTCTGCTATCTCGGCTCTGATCTCTCCCAAACTGGTATCTCCTGCATCCTCCATGTAGAGATTGGAGGACACACAGATTCAATATGTTCCAGCAAATTTCTTTCTATTTCCTCCAAGCCTGCACATCCTTTTGGTTCTCTATCCCAAACAGTGATATCACCTTCCACCGAATTGCTCAATCTTAGCATCACTTTTAATACTTTTCTCTTTTGTGCTGTCACCAGCCAACTCCAAATCTAGTCACTTCTTTCTCTTGAATCCAGTCTTTCTGCTGCCACATGATCCTGCTATTACTTTTGCTTGTATCCTCACCCCTTGCTGAGATTACTGAGAAAGTCTTAGAATTGGTCTCCCATTCTCTAGGCTGGCATCAAATCCATCTTCTACCATCCTTAAGAGGGATGGCTGTAAAGTAGAAATCTGATCAGGTGATCCCTTCCTTTAAATCCTTTGATGATTTTTCTTTGCCCACAGAATGAAGTCAGCATTCTTTATGTGGTATCCAACACCCTTCATAATCAGGCCTCATTTGATTCCATTTCCTGTCCCTTGTTGGTCCTCGCTCTAAGTTCAGGGGCTCCCAACAATGACATCCTTTGCACTTTCACAATTCTATGTTAAAGTTTGTGTTACTCTCAACCTGAATTCCCTTTCTGCATTGCCTCTCCCGTCTCCATCAAATTCTGCTCATCAATCAGGTCCTTCTTCTTTGAAAATGTACCTAATACCCTATACTCATAAAAACATGCATGTAGGCAAAATGAATCTGTCTTCTCCAGACTTCACCTTCTGCTGCCATTGGCTCATGTTCGGTGGGATCAGAGTTTGTTATCTGTCTGTCTCTGCCCAGAAAATGTGAGTTCCTGAGGGTGACGAATTTTGTCAGCCTTATGCTTGTGTTCCTGACACCTAATACACTTTTGGCACAGTGTTATACGTTATAGTGTTATATATAAGACCATATATTATATGGTCCTGTTGTAGCCACTTGATGGTTTGTTAGTGGGGCCTCTATCATGATAGTTAGATGCTGAACCTACATTTACTTTGGTACAATTCAGGTAATTTCCAAATCTTTTTTTTTTCTAATTTCCAAATCTTATTCTGCTTACGTAATTATTGATTCTTCCGGGTATGGGCCCTCAATTGATTTTTGTGCCTTTGAGCAAACTACTCTCTAGTCTACGTGTACAATCCAGGTCTCCTACCAGTTGGTTTGCTAGTCAATTTGCTGCCCTTTCTCACCGCCCCTCCCCGCTCCCCAGTGTCTGGCTAAACTTAACTGATGGATCAAATGGACTCATCAACTCAATCAAAGGGAGTGATGCCTTTGGGTGTAGAAATCCAGCTTCAGTCCTTCTGGAAGGTAATTCGTGAGGGAAATGTTGTGATCCCACAGTTGTCCCTGACCAACCCTAAGACCCCACTCACTTTTTCAACACGGCAATCTCATTCTCCAGACTGCTGTCCCGGAAGGCAGGGGACTTCTTGATGCACTTCAGGGCAAAGAGCTTCCCAGTCACCCTTTGCTTCACCAGGAAAACTTCTGAAAAAGCGCCTCTACGTATAAGACACCAAGAGATAAAAATTAGTACTGGCTGGCTAGGGAACATTGTTGGAGGCAAAACCAAAGGGTAGATGAAGGAAGGTGTGGCTGGTAATTAGTTTCCACTGTCACTGCATCCAGGGTATAGCCTATCTGACAAGCCTTCTGTCCTTTCTTTCAAAAAAGAAAAGACTCTACTACAAACTCCGAGACTAGCCGGGTGCTATTTCCAGATTCTAGAATTTGTTAAGGACTCCCAGGGACTCTGCTTTGCTTACGAAGAGTTTTCTCCATTTGGCCAACCCATTAAAGTGGGGCTACTGCAGAGGCAATTTACTTTGTTTCTTCCAGCATGATGAAGTGTGGCACACTGGAACAGCACTTGGAGGTAGCAGTGTGGACAGGGCTCAAGCAGTGATGGGAAAAAACTCCAGTCTCCGTTTTAGGTGGTGATAGTTACTCTGAACCAATTATCATAGGCTAAGGGGGCTGAACACCCTCTCATTCAGTAGGATCTGTGAGAATGAAAGACAGGACCCGGCAGCCCTGGGCAGATTTTCTGGAGATGGAGAGGATAGAACGCAATGGAAATTCCAAATTATAGCCTTTTTGCTTTGCGTGGGGGTCTTCTGGAGACCAGGCTAGTAGAGCCATAGTTAGCTAGCAGCAGATGCTGAGGCCCAAGTGCCCATGTGAGAACTTCAGCTTTTTTTGGGTGACAGGTCAACTTAACTTCTATATACCCAGATTCTTTATCTGAAAAGTGGGAGTGTAGCTGATTCATAGTGTTGTTTAGAAGATTAAATGAATTAGCATATGTAATGTGCTTAAAAGCATCCCTGACATCTGTTAAACTAAGCGTCAGACACTGTTATTGTTATTACTATTATTATTTGAATACCATTAGGGAGAACACCTGGTAGTAACAAGAGGCACTAGAGTGTAAGTGAGGAAACAGCTGAGCCATCCTCTCCCCTGCCATCTGGGATTCTAGAATGGAGGCCCAATAGCAGTCAAGCTTGTGTAAGGACTTGGAGAATCTGCGTTAGAAAATACTTGGTGTTTCCTGGGTCTGAGCTTCCTGTTTCCCCCCCAGCTGCACTGGAACGGAGTTAATCAGAGCCTTCAGAGCTTCCCCTATTCATTCATTTATTCCTTCATTCATCCCTTCAATCAAGATTTATTGAGCACCTACTGAGTCAGACACTGGAGATAAAAAGGTAAGTGTGTCCGGTCTTAAGAAGCCTGTAGACTAGTGAAGAGCACAGACAAATGAGCAATTAACATTCAATTTGCAAAATGTTATTAGGCATTCAAGGAATGTTTGCTCAGCTAAGGGAACCCTAGTGTTAGGCCCTGGGATACTCAGCGGCCTCGCTTAGAGTCTGGTGTGCGAGATAGACATGTACAGAGAAGCAGGGGGTATGATGAGACCCTAGATAATGAAGGTTGAGGACAGGGTCTTTGCTCTGGTACACGACTCCGGCAGATGCCATTTCCCTTGGAACCACGGCACATCTTCCTACAATAATCGTGACAACACTAATTTCCCCCAGCAGAGAGCAGGCTGTAGAAAAGCGTATTTTTCTAATGGGTACAAAGCGATCGCTCGGAGTAGCTAAGGAGCACCTCATTCTTGGCCTTCAGACTTAAGATCACCCTGACCTCAGTTTTAAGGGATGAACAAGAGTTAACCCAGTGAAAAGTTGGAAGTGACGTCTCAGGTGGTGGTTAGAGAAGTCGAGGGGACAGCATGGAGGAGGCGCAGGGCAGCAGGTAGGGAGGGGGCTACGGGGTCCAGCACCATCTGTTAAGTAGGAGACGGAATAGTGGGAGATGCACGTGCATGAGTACCAGCTCCTCTGGCTGGGCACGTATGGAAAACGCTCAATACAGGTGTGATGGTTGGATGGATGGAGGGAGGCTGGATGTGTGAGGAGGCTGGCCTGGGATGGGCTGCGCGTTCCACTCATCTTCGGATCCCTCCTTCCCTCCTGTAAAAGGAGAGGGGTGAACCTCACAGCTCTCAGGATTCCTGCCGGCTCTGACCTCCCAGGACCCACTATCAGAGTCCCCCCTTTCACCCGTAGGCGCAGGTGGCCCCCTGACACCTACTGGGGTCCTCTTGTGGAAAGAGATTGAATTAAGGCCTTCCTGGGGGGCCACTGACATCTCAGTGAGTGTGTAAACCACGCCTCCTGGAGATGTGCAGTGTTGTGGCGATTGTGGTGTTACTGCTTTTCTGCCTCAGGCTCCTTGTTCAGTGTGTGTGTGTGTGTGTGTGTGTGTGTGTGTGTGTCACAGGGCATGGGAGAGCGGTTACAAGACTGAATTGTGCCACTGGTCAGACTGGGGAGCAGAGAGCTAGCTTTGAGCAGCTAAGGTTGCTGGGGTCGGAAGGCAAGACAAGCAGAGCCTTCGGAGCCAGGAGTGCTTTGCTGCGGTAGAGCTTGGTCTGCCTTTGGGGCCCTGACTCGCTCTCCCCTCTTGCTGGGAGACTGCTTGATGGGTGAGGGGAGGGAGGACCAAGGAGAAAAGCCGCCGCTTCCTGCGCAGTGAAAGGAGGGGGACTGGGACCTGGGTGACACTCGCCTGCTGTGGACGAGCTTTGCCCCGTGCCTCTACGGTTACCTGAGGGCCCAGGGATTCTGGGGGACCTCCGCAAGCGTTCTCTCCCTGGCGGGGTGTTCCGGAGGAGCTGAGGGCTACAGAGAAGAAGCCTTTGTCCTGAGATTCTGGTGCATCGAGCTCAGAGGAGTCTGCGCTGCCCACTGCTCCCTCCCCGGTCAGTGCTGCACCCCCTCACCTCGGTAACTACGGTAACTCCGGTAACTACAGTAATGCCCAGGGAGGGAGGTCTGCAGCCTGGGGCTGCCTGGCCCCCTCCTGGGCACAACAGGGGGGCCTACTGTTTAGTTATTGATCAGCCCCCACTGCTGTGACCTGCCCCCTGTCTTGTCCCTTTGGTTCCCCAGGTCAGTGAGGGGCTGGATAGGTTAGAGCCATTGGAAGCACAAAAAATAGAGTCCTAGCTGCTCGGTCTTATCTCCCCGAATCCCCGTGCAATAGGTCTAGGACCAGGAATCTGTATATATATATATATTTGAAAACAAAAAAACAGGGACACCTGGGTGGCTCTGTGGTTGAGCATATGCCTTTGGCTCAGGGTGTGATCCTAGGGTCCTGGGATCGAGTTCTGCATCGGGCTCCCTGCAGGGAGCCTGCTTCTCCCTCTGCCTGTGTCTCTGCCTCTCCTCTCTCTGTGTCTCTCATGAATAAATAAATAAAATCTTAACAAAACAAGACAAAAAACCCCAGAAAACTATCTCTGCCAAAATGCTACTAGGGAATTATTATTAACTGTCTTGAGTGTGGCAATGCCATTGGGCATATAGAAGAAAGTGCCTTTATTTCTAGGAGATGCAGACAGAAGGATTCCAAGGTGACATGTCATGATGTTTGCAACTGTTTACAAATCGTTCAGGGAAATCTGAGTGTGTGTGTGTGTGTGTGTGTGTGTGTGTGTGAGAGAGAGAGAGAGAGAGAGAGAGAGAGAGAGAGAGATGTATGTACATAAAACAAATATAATGAAATGTTAACAATTGTTGAATTGAGGTGGTCAGTATATCGGTTGTTCACTGTACTATTATTTCACTTTCTAAAAACTTTAGATATTTTCACAGTTGAGAGGTAGAGGGATAAGCTCCCCGGGGTCCCTGGATGTCCCTCTAGGTTAGGACCCTGGCCGACTTCGCCGACCCCCCTGGGAGCAGCATACGTCTGACTGTCCCACAGCACAAATCTGAGCAGACAGTGAATAAGCACTTGTCAACCCGGGCATCCCCCCTCCTTCTCTTGATTTTTGGGATTCTTAGCAAATCATCTCTGATTCACGCATGAGTCTTGTCCCTCTCTCCTGCCAAAAAAACCCCTCTCTAGCCACCCCCGTCTTGGCAAAGGGCCTTGATGGAGGGCCAACGCTCTGATGACCGGCACCAGCACCGAGATCCTCCTGTGTGCTCAGAGCCCTTGCTCAGGCAGGGAGAGCCCGGGGGTGGGGGCTCCCCTTGGGGCCAGACCTGGCTCCCCTCCGTCTATCATGAGAGTGTGGGGAGCTGTCATTGCCCGAGGTCATGGCCTCCTGGCCAGGGCGGAGGGAGCTAAACTTAGCCCGAGTTGGCTAAAGGGAAAGCCTGCTTGAATGGACGGCCTACTAACTGCCCCTCACTTCCTGGGGCCCAATTAGCCCAGACTAATTAGCTGGCCAGCTGGGGTCCTGAGGCCACAGAGGAGCTGGTGGCCTGGAGCTGGTGGCCTGGAGCCGGTGGCAGCCTGCATCAGAGCCTGCAGCCTCCCGGAGGAGAGACAGGACTGAACAGGACAGTCAGCTCCAGACAGGCTGTCTCTGCTCCTCCAGCCGTGTAATCGTTGTCAAGGGGCAGAAGCAGACACTCCGGAGGCTGGTAGGAGTTTGGGCTACGGCGTGACTTTATTTTTCCAACATGGCACTTAAATATAGAGCAGAGAGGATGGTGGTGGGGAGTTGACTCCGGCATGCGTGGGGAGCTGACTCCGGCATACGTGCCCGTCAGCTTTCTAGGCCCCAAAATCCCCTTCTCCTCCGTCTACAGCAGACATGGGGGGTTGGTTGGCCTATTTGCTGCTCAAGGAAATGAAGACCCTGGAGGATGCGACCCAGGAAATTCTAGGGCCACTGAATGTCTGGAGGTACCCCAGAACCCCTCTTTCCTGCAACCAGGGTGAGAAGCCACGAGTTGTCTCTGATCTAGAGGTAGGGGAAGGGGGGTCACCGGGGATGGGCCAGGATGGGCCTTTCCACCTAAGGAAAGGGCTGGTATTCCCTGTGGGCCCAGAGTTATGAAACCAAGCTACCTTCCCCTACTCACGTCCCCAGTCCCTGCAGTCTCAGTCCTAGTTTGTCAGCTGCTGCTGGCCCAGAACAACTCCTTCCAGGCTCCCAGCCTCCACGCCCCCGCCCAGCATGCAGCCCGGCCGCCCCATCTCTCAGCCCCAGGACTCACGATCCCAGCACTTCCATGAAGATGAAGGTTTTCCGGATGTTGGTCGTCTGTTTCTTCCAGGAGCTGCAGTCATCTTCTTCCTTTCGACCCATCGCCTCCAGAGTTGAAGCTTTGGGGGATACTTTGAGGAAGGGGACAAAGGGTCTGATCAGCTAATGTCTCAGACAGGATGAGAACAAATTGCAAAAAGAATCAAAAACACATCTTTCATATAGTAGCTAGAATGAAGGATTGGGAAGCAAAACCTGGATAATGGGCAAAAATAAGTCTATTCTCTCCACTTGCTCTTTAAAATTACTACAAGGGCACCTGGTGGCTCAGTCAGTTAAGGGTCTGCCTTTGGATCAGGTTATGATCTCGGGGTCCTGGGATCGCGGAGTCAGCTCGATTTCCCTTCTGGTACCTTATGTTGTCTGGGTCGGCCCACCTCCCCAGTCCTGTTCCCTCTTGCCTCTCTCCTACCTGTTCCGGGCCTAATGCTTGTTCCTTGTTAGATGAACAAGCATTGTTTGCTCCCAAACTCCCACAACATTAGTACGGTGCTGGGGAAATAGTTATTCATTAAAATCTGAATTGAATCTTGTCCCGACTTTGTATCGGGGTTCCGGAGTCACCATATCCATTCACCCGAGTCGGCACCTATGACGCACCAGGTGCTGGCTACGTTACAGGTGATGGTTCTGTCTTCCTGGGACCGGCAGGCCGCAGGAGGCATGCCAGGAGCAAGTGAAGTACCACGTACGCGGTGACCTAGTGTAGGAAAGCCGTGAAAGAATAAAACCTAGGCTTAAGAGGGACAGAGGGGGACGGTCATCTTTACCTAAAAGTCACCGGAAGGTGCTAGAGCAGGTCATATTTAAGCTGAGATCAGAAGTTTGTGAAGGAGCCTGCCAAGCACACAGTGTGTGTGAGGGAGCGTTTTGGCAGAAGGAATAAAATACAGGAGGCCCAAGTGGGGGCAGGACGGGACCAGAGCCTGAAGGGACGGATGGGACAGTGTGGCTGGAGCAGATGAACCCTGCATGACACGGGGCAGTGAGTGGGCAGGGGAAGACAGGCAGGGGGCAGACCATATAAGGCCTTATAGGCTCTGCTGAAGGTACTGGATTTTCTTCTAAGCAAGAGGGGAAGATATGGAAAGATTTTTTGCAGAGGAATTACACCACTGATGCCTTAGAGCTCACTCCAGCTGCTTTGTGGACAATGGGGTCGGGGGAGTAAAAGCTGATATATGGAAAATGGGTGGGGGACACAAGTCCAGGAGGGAAATGACGGTGGCTTGGATTGTGGCGGTAGTGAGGGAGAGAAGGGGTGGGCTCGGGATACGTTCTGGGGTTATGAATATGTACGATACCAGGGGATGTGCCCACAGGGCGGTGAGAGGAGTCTAGGCTGGCTGTCATGTCTCTGGTAGGAGTTTCGGGGTGACAGCGCCCTTGGTGAGGCATGAATACTTGAGAGAAACATGTGCTTGGGGGGTGGCTGGGTGGGTTGGGGGGAATCTCTCTCCCTAGCTGCCTCTTTTTCCCTATTCTCCTTGGACCTAACTAAGAAGTAGGAAAATATGCCCAATGGCTGCATCTCTTGGGCAATGCACCTCCTTCCCCCATTTAAAAAAATTCCTTTGGGGGGCACCTGGGTGGCTCAGTAGTTGAGAGCATCTGCCTTTGGCTCAGGGCTTGATCCTGGGGTCCTAGGATCGAGTCCTGCATCGGGCTCCCCACGGGGAGCCTGCTTCTCCCTCTGCCTATGTCTCTGCCTCTCTCTCTGTGTCTCTCATGAATAAATAAATAATATAATCTTAAAAAACAAGTTCCTATAGGATCCATGGGGTCTTCTAATAGCCTCAGAACAAAGAGAAAGTTTGTGCCTCCACAATTTGGCATCAGGTTAAGAGCAGAGGTTTGGAGGTCAACCTGAGTTCAAATTCTACCACTGTTGGTTATTTTATTTGAACGGCCTTAGGCAAGTTACTGACCTCTGAGTCTGTTAGCTCATCTGTAAAATGGGGATAGAGCCGTCTATGGTCATGGTGCAGGTTACATGAAATAGTGGACGTAGAGACTTAGCACATTTGTCTCACAGATACTAAACCGTTGTGACAGAGACAATATTCGGGGGCACTAAGTTGATGTATTTTCACTCCTGGTAATCCCCATCGGGAGGGCTCATGTCACAAAATAGGGTCTGTAGCATAGAGGGAAACCGCTTCTGCGCTCAGACACTAGTGTGAGCCATAAGCTCCTATGAATAAGAGAAACATGACACAAGCGAGTGCCCCACGGGAGGGGAACAGGTGTGCTTGACAATTTTGGTCCCAGTGGATCCTGGCGAGGATACGGGGGAGGTGAGTGTAGTTGCCCGAAGCACGTATCTTTGCTTTCATACACTTATGGAGTAGAAGGCCCATCCAGGAATGGGGGACCTCGGTGACATGGATGGGTGGGCTTCCTACCCAGTGGGAAGCTCTACGCGTGGGAGGTACTTGATCACAAACACACTCAACACGGTGGGAAGTAATCATGGGGCAGGCCTAGGGGGAGATGGGGTGGCATGACCCTTAAGGACCCCAGAAGTTCCCCAGGGCCTGCGGGGGGCTGCAGCCAGCTTGCTTCAGGTCACGACAGCCAACCGTAGGGGTCTCCCCAGCTCTGTGGTTAGAGGTCTCAGGTTGTGGGCTTGAAATTGGCCACAGTGGGAGCACTGACACCATGGACGGGGGCAAACGCTACATGAACCAGGGCTTCTCCCCAAGTCATCCCCCTATCTTGGAGAACCAGTCCTTCATGGCCCTGGTGAAGGGACATAGCGCTGCTAGAGGGCTTGTCCCCTGGGGTCCAGAAGAAGAGACAGCTTTAATCGGGGCTTTTCAGGTGGAAGCAAATGGCTGGGAGCTGGGCCTTTCGCAGAGGGTGTCAGCATGACGCCCCCAGGTGGGACCAGTCACACCTCAGAGGTCACCAGTCGTCCTCTGGTGAGATCCCAGATCCCTGGGATCTGAGGTCCCCGATGAGTCTGAGGCCCCCTTCTCCTATCTACAACCAAGTCAGGTAAGCACCTTATCACATAAAATGTCCTGGATGTAGAGCGAGAGGAGGAGAAGCCGCCTCAAGGCTGTGTGCTTTCCTGGGAGAAACTGAGGCAGCGCAACGAGACTCTGCTGAACCCGAGACGCTGTGAAGAACAAGTTCACATTTAAAGTTGCCCATTTCCCTTTTGGGTTCGCGAGAAAGACTTTAGAGGAAATAAAGATGCTACATTTCCTTTGCTCACTTCAGGATTGCGTGTAAACCTGCAGCCTGGCTGTACGCGAACTGGTGGCCGATATGAAAAACGCACGCTAGTTAATACTACGAATCCCTTAGCATTTAGCACATTCCCGCGTAGATCTGGTTTGTGCTTGTATCCTTAGGCCCGTCTGTGGATTTGCTCGTCCTGGGAGGGTGGCAGCCCAGAGGGACGCAGCAGTTCAGGGCCCGCTAGCCGGAGGAGGACTCGCCAGCCGTGCGGTGGCCTGGTCCTTGATTTGGAGGGCACAGTGACAAGGCAGAGACAAATGAACTCTGACTGGCAGGCTGCTTTGGGGAAGATGAGATATTAGAATCCGGGTTATCTTTATCCGGATGCCGCTCTGCAGAGTCTCAGCCCCAAATCTGGCAGCTTCCACTTATCAGAGAGGTTGGCATCTGGGCGTGGATCAAGTGGTTCTTAGCGTGGACACTGAAGCTGGGAGTCTCGACGGACGTATGGGGGTGTCGGGGTGGACAGTCAGAGGAGCCGAATCGACAGGGTCGGTCTGTGTGTGTGTGTCTGTCTCTCTCCCCTTCACAGACCCCCCAGGCCTGCAGATGCTGCTTATCCAGGTAAGGACCCAATCAAGCATCTTCTTCTTCTTCTTTTTTTAAGATTTTATTTATTTACCATGAGAGACACAGAGGGAGATGCAGAGACATGGGCAGGGGGAGAAGCAGGCTCCCCGGGGGATCACGACCTGAGCCAGAGGCAGATGCTCCACCACTGGGCCACCCAGGCGCCCTCCAATCCAGACTTCTTTCCAGCTCTGGGGCCAGCAGCTGGGTGTGCATCGCTCCCCCTGCTGGAGCCCCGCGGAACCCGGGCCTGCTCTCCGGGAGGCACGACCACCTCATTAGCAGATCTGTACTCCCTGTTCCTTCTCTCCCATCTCTCTTAAATAGCTTAAAAACATAGTATTCTTAGCTAAGCTGGCTATAAGAACACATCTTTCCCGCCCACCCCTCCTCCCATACACTCAAGCCTAACAATTTAGCTCTATCTTCAGAGCAATGTGGAAAACTCGGGGCGGGGAGGGGGGCGCCCCAGATCTGAAACCCTGGGTCATTCCCGCCACCACCACCCCCCAACCGCAGGGAGGTCCCCAGGCCCCCGCCCAGCGCCGCGGAGGTCTAACCAGGGGCTCTCAGAGGGGCACCCACATTCTCCCTGCTTCTTTCCCTCGAAGTCCTCGCCCTGCTCCCCGACTCCTGCTGCTGCTATCTAGGTTCTCTAGACGGAAAAGAAAACGCATCCCGAGAAGCCTGAAGCCCCAGGATGGCTGTCACTTGTTCCCAAAGTATGCCCACGTCTCTCCCTCTCTCTGGCCACAGCCTCCACTGGGCTTCAGGGCTCGGGAAGAGCCACTGCTGAGGTACAACTGAGGTCACCCTGTAGCTCAGGAGACGCCGTGGGTGTTGGCATCCGTGACCCTCACTCCTCAACCGGGCAGGACCCTCACGGATGTTCTGCAGAAATGACTCCCGGCCGAGGCAGTGGCCTTACTCATGGGGACCACCTTTGACTTGTTGGAGACAACACTCCTTCATTCCCCGCAGGACTACAGCAGACATGGCTGTGACACGAGGCCCTGAACAAATGCTTCCAATCAGGGCATCCGGGTGGCTCAGCGGCTGAGCATCTGCCTTCAGCTCAGGGAGTGATCCCGGGGCCCTGGGTTCGAGTCCCGCATTGGGCTCCTCAAAGGGAGCCTGCTTCTCCCTCTGCCTGTGTCTCTGCCTCTCTCTGTGTGTCTCTCATGAACAAATAAATAAAATCTTTAAAGAAAAAAGTGCTTCCCATCAAGTTGGAAAGGCCAAGCATAGGTGT